TAATTTATATTTATCAGCTGCTTGTGCGTACAGCTAAATTTATGTGCAGACAACAAGGACATATATATATCAGATATATATATATATATTTATATATATATCGTATATCATATATGTGTCTATGTATATATTGTTCTTTGTCACTGAGACTGCGCTCTTTTTTCAGCGTAATTGGATCAACATTAGCTGAGCTGGCGCAGGCAGCTTCCTTTCATGAAAAAGCAGGAAATGATATAGTCAAGAGGTCACAGCACTAATACGACCAACTAGCCGGCTTAACTAGCCGCCACACACACAAGCACAGTGAGCAAGACAAGGCGAGAGTTAAAGAGAGATAGAGACAGATAGAGATAGAGTAAGAAGTGGTATAAGTAAGATGCATAGACAGAGTCCATAAAGCGGCATTCACATGAGACAGCGGCTAACGAGGTCAATTGTAAGTTATTTCCTTCACACAACAACCAGAAGCTGAAAGAGAAGCAGCCAAAGCAACATCAACAACAACAACAAACCACAAAGAAACAAGAGTGAAGAAAAAAATGACGACATGTATATAGAAATTTGTGAAAGCAGACCAGGAAATAGCCCAGCATGAATATCATTATGGCTAAAGTGCGTTAAAGGTTTTTTATGCCAGCAAGTTAAACAAGAAAGAATATGCGTGTAGTATAGTGTAGTGCAGTAGACCTAACAACTCATTGTTATAAAAGAGTTGGCGCAGCGCTAAAGCGAGTTAGTTATGCAGTTGAGCGGTTGAAAAGGAATGCATTTTGTGTGCAGCCAGTTGGAAATATATTTGTAAGCAAATGTAGTCAAAGCTTAAGCGATCTTAAGCTGTGATAGGGTCACAGCAATTCTCATTGTGAGTTCCAATTGTTAATTGCCAAATAGGTTTTATTGTAATCTAAACACATTCACAGACAATACTTTATTTTGAGCTAAATTTAATTTAATAATATCTCTAAAGTATTCAGTTTTATCAACTTCTCAGTAACAAGTCGCAGCCCCATTAAAGCATTTCCTAAGTTATTCAATCGATTGCATTTAGCGTAAAATACATGTGCCGCAAGCTCTTATTGTATATCATTAAGGATCTGCGGCTGCAGCTGGCTGCTATCACATATCTGATATTCATGCAGACTTTAATTTATGCGCAATATTTTACACTTTTGCATGTGCAACGAGAAACTCATTTCAAATGCCATCAAAGAAAATGCATTTTAAATGTGCAAAAAAACACACAATCAAAAAGGGAAAAGCGATGAGAGAAAAGTGAAATTGTGTCACCTAATTTTGCAATAGCTCTCAGCTACGCATCATTGCACAACGGTAGAGAGAGAGAGTGAAACAAACAATTACGCATACGCCAGGTATGCCGGTTAGATGAAAAAATGTGCGCTTAGCGCATAGAGCAAACGCTATATATATCTATATATATCTAAAGTGAATTTTAGTCTGCACTCTCATGGCGACTCTCACTCTCTCTCTCTCTCTCTCTCTCTCTGTATCTGCTGCACTTCTCATATTTTTGATGCGCGCAGACAGCGAGACAATTGTATGCATATTTCATAATTCATAAGTTTTCGGGATCAAAAAATATGAATATTCAGCAAATGACAGTGCACAAAAGAAATAAATGAATGAAAGCGGAGGGCAAAAAAAAAGAGAAAAAAAAAACTGTGACTTGACGCTGCCTGCCTCGACTTCACGTTGCACGTTCACAGCTCGTTTGCAGACTGTCAGCTTTAATATCACCCAATTCTCGCCGTTGTCCCTCACTCGCGCCCGCCCATATGAGATACAAAACTTGTCCCTTATGTTGGGCTATTTGATTTGATTCTTTAAAGTTTCGATTGTATGAATTTGGGTCAATGTATGTGATATTTTATTGTGTTCGCTGTTGTATTCCCTGCCCACTTTTGTTTGGTTATTGTTGCACAGTTGTAGTTGTTCCGAGCTCTACTTATGCCTTGTTTTGTCTGACGACGACGACAAACAAACGACAGGCAACAATGCAGAGACAAAAGTACAACACACAGATCCGCATTGGGACCTGAAGGACATACGTGCTTTGTATGACTCAATAGTGTGGCTTACACACACACACACACACACACACACGCATGGCAAATACCCAAAAAACTTTTATTTTATGCAAAATAGTTATGTGTTTTTCGATGCTCTATCTACAATTGTTTCTGCTGTTGCACGTTTTACCTTTTCATTTCTCTTCTGTGCTTTTTATTTTTCGAGTGTTTGCCTTGTATTGATTTTTGCATTTTTAGGTCGCACAAAAGTTGCTGGCATGGGAGGCTGTACAGTAGCTAAGAACAGCTAGAGTTTACAACACAGTTGCACACCCACTCGCACACACATTTAATGAAGCCGTTTTGTGGCCAGATTTATGGACAAAGACTTAAACGTGGCTTTAACACGCGCTGCATCAAAAAAAAATGCCATTATTTTCTGGCTGAGTTTTACGGCTTATCGAGTCAATGTCAGGTCAAATACTCTTCTGGCAGATCAAGTTGAAGTCTATTCAAATAGGTCTTACTATAGCAAAATGCTTGGCAATGATTTGCATTTCATTGCTCACAGTGTTTATCTACAGAAAAATATATGAAAGCTTTTATTTTGGGAATTTAGATGGTTAATCTAAAGTGAGTTGGAGCAAGCTGCTTTTGAAGTTGTTATAAAATTTTCAGCAATTGAATCCAGTTCCTTTACCTTATATATGTACAGCAAATTATATTTGCTTGTATAACATACCTTATTTATGTTTTAGCAGTTGTTCGGCAGGTAATTGTGGCTGGTCAGGTTTTTAAATGCTGTCACTTAAAACAAATTTAATATTCGCAACACATTTTGCAGGAAGCTTGGTCAACACCTTTGAACTTTCAGACTATTTTGCATAAAATTGAAGCAGCAGCAGCAAGAATAAAACCAACTTTGCTATAGCCTTAGCAGGACAAGGTTCATTGGGTCAGTTCAGAGGTTGCTGGCACCGGGATATGGCAGTGCACAGATTTCGCATTTTTGTTACTTTATTATAAAAGTGGGCTTATTCGTCTGCTGTGTCTGCTTGGGGTGCCTCGTTTACTTGGCTCAAGCTACTATCCAATGTCCTTTTATCCTTTGCTGTTGCTGTTGCATTTTAACCTCATTGTATGTAAGCTAGACTCAAGTTTATTCCTGTGCTTTGTCAGTTTCTTGTTTTCTGCTTATTGATTGTTATCTCCTCTCGATGCTGCTGCTGCAAGTTGCTGCAAATAAAAATTATTGTTGAGCTCCTTGACTTTTGGCCTCTGCTCGTTGTGGCTCGACTCCTGTATATGCAAATTGAGCTTACATTTTCATTGTGCTTCGGTCAAATATCAACTAAATTGTAAGATTAAATTTTCTGTAATTGCTGAATAAGTTTTATATATAACAAATGACTTTTTCTATATCTCATTCATATTCTAGTTCTCTCCATGTTTCTGCTTTAAGAATTTAATTGTCAAATCAAAGAGCTAATCTCGGCAACAGACAGAGCCACTTGCAGATCATTTTATAGTCTTGATGTTTTGTTTCTAGTCACTTTATTTAATACCCTATTGCACTCGGCTATGCTCTTTGACATTTTAATCGAATTTGATTATTCTTTTGGGCATTTTATAACTGAATTGCTTTCTCCACATTCGTAGTTGTGTCCGAGTATTGTTTTTGCTGCCGCTGCCACTTCTTCTCCTTTTTGTGGTTGCGATGCCACATTGAAATTTGATTTTAATTCAGTTTTTGTGTTTTTCATATTTCAGACAAATTTCATTTCGGTGGCATTTGCAAAATGTTCAATCCCAGCCAATTGCAGTTACGGATCTTGTTTTGCCAAATTGAAATTCTGATCAAATTTAAAATGCAACAAACATGCATTTGTTATGAATGTTCAATGTTCGTTTTGTGGCTTGGCTGGCCCTGGCTCTGCTTTAATTTCCTTGCAGCTTTAATTGCATATGAAAAGTGAAAAGAAGTGAAACTGGAATTATTCTATGATTCGCTGATGGCATGTTGCTAACTCTGTTAAATTAAATATTCTTTAAGGCATATTTCAATTAGTTGCATAGCAAATTTTGTTACTTCTTTGAAATTTTATTGGACTGAGTAGTTGCATAATTTATGCTGTTTAAAAAGGCATTAAAAAGCTTAAACCATTGGAAAGCATTAATAGAATTCTGATAAATATTGCTTAGCCATCGATTGGTCACTTGTTTAGACAGGCTTTGAGCCATTTGACTGATTGAGTTGGGGAGAAATGCCAAATTAGTGCAAATAGAATGATCGAGCAGCCTGCCTCATGAGCTACTGCAAATAGCTGAGTGAAGTTCTGCGAAGCTAGCAACCACTCTCTGTGTGCTTACATTATTGATTATATATATATATAATATATATATATTTATATATATACGAGTTCATAATAATAATATTATATATATATATTTTGAGGCTGGCTTTAAAGCTGGGTCAATTGCAGTCACTGTGACAGCGACAACCACAGCACACGCAACACACAGACTTCCTCTTTCTCTCTCTCTCTGTCTCTCTCTCTCTCTTGCTCTTGCTCTCCACATTTTTCTGTTTTTTAACTCTCCGTTCAGTGATTTTTATAATGCAACCACAAAAGCAGCTCAAAAAGTCAAACACATGTCTCATGCGTAAAAAGTGCCTCATTAAATTGAGGGAAAAATAATGATATAAGTAGGGAATTACACGGGCAGCTTGAAAAGTATTATATATAGATTATATATTTTATATATACATGCATTTATATTATATATATTTTATTCATATGTTAGACACTGATTAATGACACTGAATTAGTTGATAACACTTTAGACTTGACTGTAAAAAATATAAAAGCAAGTGCATGGAGTATATGTGAATGTATATATATATATAAATATATACATATACACACATTCATATATATATATATACATATACACCTATTGTATATTTGCATATTTTTCGCTTAGTACAAACATTTATATGAATTTAGTTAACTATGTATTCGAATTTGAAAAGAAAACGCTCTCTCATGTCATAAACTCAATTTTGCTCGATAAGTTCTAAGAAGTCGGAAAATGATTTTTCAATTCGTACCAGGCCAGCGTAGGCCACGTTGTTGAACGCTGAGATCACTCGCTGTTCGCTTTGTTGCGCAGCTGCGCTTAGTTGTCGTATCTTTGGATTTGTTCTATACACAAATATCTGTATTTCCCTGTTCACCTGTTGCAAAGTCTTCTCAAATGTGGTGATATATGAGCCATTTGTGTACTGAGACAAGCGCGCGTTTACAGCTTCATCATCGAGCTCGTCAGTGCCGATGATTTTTCTCAAGTCTTCTAAAACCGTTTCGATATCTGACTCGTTCAATGAGCGCTCATTCTGAAGTTTTGTTACTGCACGTTGTCTAATGGCATGCAGCTCCGGCATTACCTGCAAATTGATAGCCTTTGTATTAATAATAGAATCAGTCAATTCTATGATGTTTCGCAACGAGATTTGCATTAATGTAACTTTCGTTTGCTCCGCCGATTGTTTTATATCAGCTAACAGTGAATAATCTTTAAAGGTCAGAGCACTGGCCAGGCTCTGAAAGAGAAATTATTAATTCTGCTTATTTCGTATGGCATTATATTTACAGCTTACCAATGTAGCCAAAGTGAGCAGAAATAATATTCCGTAATGCATCATTGAGTGCTTGCAATGAAACTGAATTAACACGAAAATTGTTGGCAATCTGTAAATGATTTTTTGAAGCTTATCAGCCTCAATGCATTATAAAGTAAATGCTATGCGGTTATATATATATATATGACATAATCAGCATATGTAGTTCGTTTACCCATGAGACACTACTGATGGGGTATATAGACAAGCTAAAAATATATGTAAAAAATTTATATTAATTCTTAAAAATACTTTAGATGACAAATATATAAATTAAATTAAAATATATAATTACAGGGTATTCTAGTGTTATGAAATTAATATTTAAATACTATAAACAGCATTAGGAAAGTGTGAGAAAATATAATGGATGCTAGCGAAGCAAGTCTAAAGTCTTAATGTTTCATAAAGCAAATCTGAATATTTGATTAAGAAAAGGCTGCATAGTTACAGGGTATTAGACTGTCTTATAATTGTTGAGCTATAAAAACATTGGCATTGCATTGATATTATTTTATTATTTCATTATTTAACAACTCTGACAGCAGCTGCAGCTTTTTGGATTAATCTTATGATTACTTTACAAGTTGTCCACATGACATGCATTTTTCTGTATTGCTGCTACACATTTAAGGACAAATCCATTAAAAACCACACAAACCACAAATATATACACTTAAAGACACACGCAGATATGTAGACACATATGCAGAGCAATATACACATAGACATGAAAGAATGATTTCAATGTATATTTAATGAGTGTACAACGTTGCGTTTTCCCAGCGGTCTTCATAAATATTTTCACCACTAATGAGCCCGACGATTAATCGCAAAGTATTACAAAGCGAGAGAGAGAGAGAGGGAGATGGAGATGCATAAAGACTGCGGGCTTCTTTCATGTGAGCGTCTGATGACGTGTAATTGTCAACGAAAAATATTTTGATATGAAGTCAACGAATTCCATAAGGGAACACTGCGACAGAGAGAGAGGGAGAGAGAGAGGTGCAAGTAATTGTAGAGAGGGGCCGTGGTATTGGCTTGCGTCATGGTAAATTATATACATATGCATCTCACTCTCTCTCTCTCTCTCTCTCTCTGTGTGTGTGTGTGTATTTATGCTAATTGCAGGGCACAAGACGCTGCGGCAATTACATAAGCGAAGCCACAACAGCAATGGCCATGGCAATGGCCATACTTAAATATCAATTAAAATGCTTCGATGTTGTTTTTTTAATCGGATCGTAGTACAGCTGAAAGTCGCCAGAGAGCGCTGCATTAGAATGTGTGCTTTGCGTGAATAAAAGTTGTCTGTGCTGAAAAGTTGCGCAAAACTATTGTCGCGGCAGCAGCGGCAGCGGCAGCAAATTCCATTAAAGTTTTGCATTTCAAATTGCATCAACAATGCGTCTGGGCGGAGGCTGTTGCAAAGGGGCGTGGCACGCTAGAGAATATCGGGCGATAAGCGAGAGTAGCGAAAGTGCATTGAGACAGCTGTGCGAGTGTGTTAGTGTGTGTGTCAGTGGGTGCATGTGTGTGTGTGTAGAATTTAGGTTAGCTTTACCCCAGAAGGAAGTAGCTTAGCAAAGTTTCACTTTTAGCAAAAGAACATTAAATATTTATGCAGTTGAGCTCGGCGCAGTTTTCATTTTCATTTTAATTGAGTTCGTTAATTAAACTCACAGTAATTAAAAATTGGTTTTCATTAGCTACATTACAAAGTACAGTTATTTAATTTGATTCTTAGAGCTGTGATTTTAGTATTTTTTATACTAGCATCAAAAGATAGCTGCAATTTTCGTTTGCCCCAAACAAGTTATTTATAGCTCTAATAAATAATGCTCAAAAATCTGTTGCGGTTAAGTTTGTCGCTTCTTGACGCACTTTAACAATTATGGGGTTAATTCAGGCGAAAAGACTAAGCAGAAAGCACATGCTGAGTCTGATTCTGAGTCTGAGCTGACTAGCTGTGTGGGTTGTGCTTTTTGTCCTTTCTTTTTCATGGCAGCCAAAGCCAAAGCCAAAGCCAACGGCAGAGCTAGGGCAAAAGGAGCAAAGACTGGCTGGGAAATGGTTTGGGTTGGCATGGAGCCAATCAAGGCATTCAAAGAGAGCATATTTAAATAGCTTTTAACATGCACGAGCTGTCGAGCTCGTTCTCCGGCTCTGGTGCTGGCGCTGGCTGTGTAGCTGTCGGTGCTGCTGTAGTTAAGTGAAGGCCAAGCAAAGGCGACACAAAAATGCAACCAAAAAACGAGAATCCAACTCTGGCACTGGTACCTGAGTAACATTTTTCAAAGTGCCTTGGCCAAGAGTTGGTTGGGCAGCAGTCGGGGGCAGTCAGCTCTTAAAGTCGTTTAGTAATGCAGTCAACGTGATGCATCTTTGCCTTTGATGCATTGGCATTTTACAGCCAGAGTTGCGGCAGAGGTAGACAAAAATTGCAGTCTAATGGCTGGCTGCACGCTCAGCGCCTGGCCAAAAACCAAAAACACAAAAAGAGTTGAATTTGGAAGGCAAAGTTCATTTCGAGACTTCAACGCAACGAGTTAAATGCCATTGGCTAATGAGCTTTCATCGATCATTGAAGGCGATTCATGATTTCTAATTTCTGTCCATTTGCGTAAAATGGAAACTTGTTTTCGAGCTTCATAAGAAAGAGTTGAACAACTTCTCACTCGGCGGTAGTTGCTTTGCTTTTCTACTGCTTCAAATTAATCTTTTGCTTTGATTAGGAATTTACATAAAATTCAGTTAGGAAACATTTTAGTGGAGCAATTGGAAACATCAGGAATTTAACTTTATTTAGTTGCTATTTTAAATAGTTTAAATTAACATAAGAAATGCCCAGCTAAAATCTACAGAAATATAAAATGTTTAATTTCGAATTATTTTTGCAAGCCATCAAAGAAATGATCCAACAGATCATTGTTGACCTGGCCAAAGCTCCAGCGTTGCCGCTCATTCGACTCGCTGCATTTGTTGGTCACGACCTTTGCCACGCCATTTTCGAGGAATGCCTCGAGGCAGTTCGAGCCGTGAAGGCCATGGACAAGCCACTGGTGCGTGCGATCGTAATACCAGAACTGATTGCCACCTTGATTGTGGCAGTCCCACATCCAGACTGTGGCATTCGGATGCGAGTCCTGCACATCCAAACAGGCCTCGTTCAAACGTCGCAGCTCGCGATGAGCTGTCAGCGCCCAGTTCTGGTTCTCCTGTGGATGGGTGCGATTCTGGGCGCAGGCGAACATGCCAACGGGATGATTGGAGCCCAGATTCATGCAGTCCAGACAGTAGTTCTTGAAGGCCACACTCTCCACGGCGCCCGAGGCATAGGCAGGCGGATCCACTGGCGGGAATTTGACAAGGAAGTCGGGTGCCACCTCCTTCATGTACCAGTCGAAAGACTTGCACTGCAAACGCTCACGGACAGCACGCTGTCGCGTTAGGTCGCCCGCATCGAGATTGTCGTAGGTCGCCGGATCTCGCTGATAGACGAACTGCTTGTACTCATCCATCCAGACCTCAGCCACTCGCTTGTGATTCTGTAAAATAGGTTTGATCAGCGATATTTTGCATGCGATTCGCCCTAATTCCAGCTTACCCTAGCCACAAAGTTGTAATTGCGCGGATTGGGTCGCGGGTCCATTTGACCCCGAAAGATGTGCGCAACACGCGAGCAGGGCACATCGAGCAGCATGCCGCCGCACATCCAGATCTTAAAGCTCAGCTCGTACTGTTCGCCACCCCAAATATCCAGCTGATCGTCGTAGCCACCCAGATCCCAAAAGAACTTTGAACTGATGGCAAAGAGACCACCCATCATGACAGGACTGCGGTACGGCAGGGACTTGTCCACACTATCCTCGGGCAGCACGGGCAGCTGCTTGTAGAAGAAACGCCAATCGAAGCCGCCGCGTGAACCCTCCTGATAGCCGCCATTATAGGCAAAATTATTGTGATCAATAATGTCCACAATGGGACACGTTGATATCTTATTGTTGATGACAATCGGCTCTAAAAGCGGCGGCAGCTGCAATTGGAATTGACATTTGATATTAAATGATTGTTGCTTGATCTTTGGATTAATCTTGCTTAATGCAAATTGAAAGTTAAATTCGTTCTAATACTCAAAATTTGCAGATATTGGAATTAATTGAAACTTTAGAGCTTTAAAGCTTCTTTTAAAGCTTGAACGCATTCAGATATTTTTGCTGTTTTAAGATGGTTTTAAGATTAATACGAACGCATAAAGCTTTTCACTCTATTCCTTACTCAAACCTAATTATATTTCATCTCGACTGCTGTTCTCAATGTGCTTTTCTTTCATGTACACAGTATGTTTAATCCTTGGATTAATTTTGCTTAATTGAATGTAAGATCCGTTGTTATACTGGTCACTTGCGGGCATTGCAATGACTTGAAGCTTTAAAGCTTTAAAGCTTCTTTAAAAGCTTAATCTGTATAACAGCTTCTCTTATTTTTTATGATGTTCTAAGAGGGCTTTAAGATTAATGCAAAAGCTGAAAGGTTTCAAATTTTTATGTCTGTTCCTATCTCAAACATAGTTCTATTCCAGCTTAGCTGTGCCCAAAGTTTTTTTCTTGAATATACAAAGTAGCTTAAAGCCTTTCAGTTTATTCTTCGACATTCCCAGATCTCTTGCTTACTCCTTCATAGTCAACTCTCTTTGATTGGCTGAACTTACCCAATTATAATTGACTTCAATGTGCGAGTCAAAGAAGACCATAACCTCGCCGGTGGCAACCTTAGCGCCCGCTAGACGTGCTCCAATCAGGCCACGTCGCTCGGGATTGTGCACCACGTCAACTAAATCGGGCCACTGTAGAGCGACATAGTCATCCAATTGTTGCTTAAGCGTCTCCCACTCACTGCCATCGTCCACGAGCACAATTTGCTTAAGCAGCTCGGGAGGCGTGCGATTGACGATGCTGTAAACGGAGCGCAGAAGCGTCTGAAAGTGTTCGTTGTAGAAAATGAAGATGACACTGACATTGGGCAGCTTGGCCAGATATTTGCGCGACTTGCAACTGTCAAAGAGAGCACAAATTGTGAGCAACTGATGCGGCAATTAATATGAGCTACGCTTACGCCTCTTTTCGCACATCTGGCACTGAGCGATTCACCGAGATTCTGTCGGAGAGGTAGCCATTGAAGCCATTCCTGCGGTATTCCTGCTGTTCCAGGTCTCTTTCCGAGGGATCAATGGTGGCTGGCTGTCCGTGTTCGCCCATGCCGATGCGTGCTTTGTCCGCTTCCATTGCCTTGTAATCGTGCCAGTCCCTACGCTCGCCCAGCGGCGTTGGCAGCGTAAACATTTTCAGTACCTCTGGCTGGGGGTGCTCCACTTGCTGGTCCGGCTCAGGATCACGCACAGAATTCCGATCCTGAAACGGTGGGCGGGCCTGTCGACGCATCGGCTCCACATGGGCAGCACGAAATTGCGGCGTTATCGGATCTCCGTTTGGATCCAAATTACTTTCGTCCACCTCGTCCGATGGCTTCGCTTTGCCCAGACGCTTCTCCACAATCACTGTGGTCAGCAGCGAGATGAACGCGATGATCATTATGAGAAAGATGAACTTGCGCATCAGGCGCTTCACCTGGCGCTTCTTTATGGCCATGGCCAATACGTTTTGCAGCTGTGAGTCTTCGTTACAGAATGGTTTCATGCCCGAACGGCCGAGCACATTGAGTCAACTGCAACTGCGTGGCATGGATGTCCATTAATCTAATTGCAACTTTTTGTATCTCATTTTGTTTTTTCTTTTTCTTTTGTTTTTTTTTGTTGTCTGATAAGGTGTAAGGTAACTTAATTTTGCCCCGCTTGAACATCATTCTTCAATATCAATCAGAGAGCTATCTCTTAGTTCTCGTGCCAAGGCCCAACTAACTGTAAACCAGCTGCCAACTACTTTCAACTTCCACTCACCTGTTTCGAGAACGATACGAGCGCTTTTACGATGTCGCCATCTGGCGGAACTAATTTGAAGTTATCAAATAAATTTGAAGCGCTGATAACGTCAACTACACTGCAAGAAAAGATATGGTAGTTAGCTTTTTCGCTTCTTACATTATATAATTCTTTTTATTTTTCTTTTCTTTTCTTTCTCTGGCTTTCAAATTGCAATCTTCATTTACTGGAAGAGTAGATTTCGCCAAGCAGCCGCCTTGTTGAGCTGTTGCAGCCAGTTTTATGGTTAATAATAATTTATTTTAATCATTTTGTAGGCTCGATATGATCAATGTTTATACATTATTTAGCAGATGTTGCACACAGTTTACATTCTGGCGTTTTTAGCTCAATGGCAGCTGTGTCTACACCACTGTGCCAACAGTTCTAAGCAAATACACTAACACACATACATACATATATGGTTTCGCATTTAAACGCATATTTATTGTACAACGCGGCGTATTCGCAATAAATTCTCACAAAATTTCGACGCACTGTGGCAATAAAATGACATTTTTTCATATTTACACACATAAAGTCAATGCCAAAAACGTTGCCGTGAAACACCAGTTAGTAGGTGGGAGCAGAGTTGGGCTTTTTTACATTTTTTATGGCCTTTGCTTTCATACCATGTGAAATATTTTCAAAGCGGACATATTTGTACACGAATAAATATATATATATATATATATATATGTATTGGTACACATATGGGTGTGCAAAATACTGTGTATCCATATTCTTGATATGAAAGCTGATGTGCGATAATAAAGCAACAACAATAAAGCAAAAAAATGAAACGAGTTAGCGAATATCTAATGCTCTAATCATATGACAAATAAAAAAGATATATGCTTTAAAAAATGATATTCTTAATCACATTTAAAATTGAAATATATCTGAAATAAGTTCATAGAATTCCAAGCTGTTACGAATTGCATTAGGCATTCGATATGCCCCATTGTAGGGCATGCAGAAGAGCAACAAATACAACTGCGCCAGTTGGCCGCATTTGACAGCTGCGGCTGCTGGTTGTTGGGGTTTTCAGTTGAGCTTCTGCTTTTGGCTGGTTCAACTGCCAAAATGTTGTCGCGGCTAAAAGCGCAGCAAAGCAATAAAAGCCAAATATTGTAAAATTTTATAAACATTTTGGCGGCAGATAACAAATGTGCAGGAGAATATATATATATATAAATGTAACAGATACATGTATATAAGTTTACAGTTAGATAAAAGATACTTTTATGTAAAATTTCTACAATAATTGGCTAATAATTTAATTAAAATATTAGAAGGCAGAAATTAATTAGTACAAATACAGCTGCGTCTAATAGCGTATATATTTAGATATTTGACAATGTTGAGCATTTTATGCTTGCTTATCTTTTAATTATTGTCATTGCTTATCACGAACAACATCTGTTCACCTGTTGCGTTATCTGGCACTCGCCGTTTGCTTATCAAATGCCAACTGCTGTTATCAACACGCTGATTGCAATCGATGTATGCATTATTGAAATAATAATAATCAAGTACAATTACTAATAGTCTTTATGTTATGAGAATTTTAATTAAATTAAGCTGTTTTGCAAGAGAATTAGAGTATTAAAAATTAATTAGAAAATTGAAAAATGTAACTTGCTGCTGCTTTTTACTCGAAGCTGTCGATACTTTATTGAAACTGTTAAAGCAATGCATAACCTCCTCGCTTTTCCTAAAATGTTCTCTCTAGTTTTATGGTGCATAGATATTTCATTCAGATTAAAACTGGATAATAAGTATTTAAAAAATATATATATATATATTAAGCTGCAAAATATGTGATAAAATTTTAAAATTTGTTAAATTTTGGTTTATTTTTTGTTTTTCACTCAATATGAAATGATAAAATAATTACAATATTTATTTAAATTAGTATAGAAAAAGTAATATAGAAAGTAACAAATGATCGTTCATCTGCTTCAAGCTTTCCTATATTAGCCAAAAAATAATTCAATAAAACTCAGCAGATTTTCATTACCAAATGCTTCACAAATTTAGCTGTAAATTGATGCAGGAACTGAAATTTATCTTTAAGTACAGTTTGTTGGATTTCCAGTTACTTATTTAATAATAAATATAAAAATACTTTTTATCCAATTTTTCGTGGCTTTTAGTCAAACACAAAGCACTAAAAAGTTTATGTCTAACAATTAGAAACACAACTAATGTCGAGCTAAATAATAATAATATAATTGTTTACTAACTGATTTTGTTAAAGCTTAACATTTTGTTTCATTAGCAAGCAGATTTTGCGCGTTTGGCCTTGCTGAAAGTTGTTGCATTAGGTGGCCATGGCTCCAAAAGTATTTCCCAGGCATTTGCACATGCATTATAAATAAATAAAGCGCGGGGCTCATATAAATTTACGCGTTTGTAATTACGTAGAAATTAAGCTGGCATCAACATTTAATTGCTAAAAGCCCCAGACGCAGAATCAACCTCTATATATCTGCGTGTATATGTGGGCGTGCAGCCACGCATGCTAAAAAGGGAACGAACATTTAATTAACAAATTTTACGCATTTATTTTCTATTTTCATACTACGACTACGACGACGATGCTGACCAAACCGGCAAAAAAACCGTGACAACATAATTTGCCTGACCCCACCGCATCGCCACCAAAAATAAAATGGCGGCGACTTTGTGCCAACAACAACAACAACTAATGCCAACCACATCCACAAACCACAATCGGCACAGTGAAAACGAAGGACATTGATGCCGTCGAGGGCAAATCTGTGTCGCTGCCCTGCCCCATTGCCGAGCCCCTGCATGATGTTTATATGGTCTTATGGTTTCGTGATAATGCGGGCATACCTCTATATAGGTGAGTACTATTCCACACACATACATACGCTCTCTCGCTCTCTCTCTCTCCTTGCTCTTTCTCCTTGTTTATGTGTATGCCCGCCTCATTTGGCTTATTGTCTGCCTCAGTCTCTGTGTGTGTGTGTTTATAAGCATTTAATTAAATGCAAACGAGCCTCGAGAGCAGCTGCCTTTAAACCGTGCGGCCCCGCATCGCACAAAAGTATGCTACAGTAATTTTCTGTTATGCCCTGTACAATTTTTGGCAAATGGGCATATCAGTGTGGCAAACAAAGTTAGTGAAATTTAATATGATTTAGTAGCTGTCACAATTAGTGTGAGTTTCTTACCTAGACTCGAAGTCAGGTCTCTACTTATATCGCCCACACATTCCAGGGTATTGCCGCGTCGAACAGGCGCATTTAGTGTAATTAAACTTAAGCTGTTTATTTTTTGCACCTGCTGCCTGGCAGCTGATAAGTGGCCTTTGGTCTCTGGATATGTGATTTAACTTTTGTGCGTAAGCGTGTGTCTGTGTGTGTGTTTTTGTTGTCACAAAGCGCACAGTAAATTAACTTAATTATATTTACCTAATTTCCTAATTAACCTCAGACGTAAAGCCACAAGAATTATGTGAATAAATGACGTTGAACTTCTTTTATATGGATTTTGGCATTATTGTTAAGCTGTTGCTAAGCTTGTGGCTATTTCAAATTCTTGTTGCTATTTGCTGCTGCTGCTGTTGTTGTTGCTGTTGCCTGGCCAGCAACAATCAGGCAGTTCATAAAGAACTCTATGTGAAAGTGCATAGGTCGAGCTGGCCCACTCCCTGCAGTTGGTCTACTAATTGCATTCACGACATTTTCACGCCACGTTGCGCCTTTTGGCTGTCAAATGCAATATTTAAGTGCCATATCTAGCTCTAGGAATACTAAGCGAACTTTTGACTTGGCCACGAGCAGTGGCACAAGTAGTTCAAATATTTGCTAAAAGTTTACAAAATGTAGACAAAATTTGGAAGCCACAAGAAGGGACTTTGGAGAGGGCTTGACATTTGTAGAAATATATAAATTACTGTTATAGATGAGGATGCTTAGCTTCCATTTAATACAGTCTTTATATATATATATTGATATTGATTAGAGACAGAATAGTAAATGAAATAATATCAATACTTGAGCAATAAATAATATCAAGGCCTTAGAAGACGACCTATGTCTCGCAGTTGGTCTTCTTCTAAAACGATTGAATCTACGTAATTAACTTCTCGTTAACTTAGGACTCTCTCCAGTCAAAATCACATCCACAGTGCATTTAAATTTTATTTTCTGAGCATTTTCATTACACTCAATTTGCTTGGGTTCACGTAGCATATTATTTGGTCATAAACATTTGCAGCATAGGCCCCCAAGAGCAGTTATTAAGCTTAGGACCCATAGAATTCCCACAGCACGCTTCACTCTCTTTAGCCGCATTTTCGTTTTTTTTTAATATTATTTTTTTAGTTTTTAATTAAAATGGCAGCAAGCAACAGAAGAAAAAAATGAAGAAACTGAAGGCAAATGCAACAAAATTGGGTTAACGTGGCTCTCGCTTTCACACTAAGTCATTCTGCTGGCATCTCGCCCTCTCTCTTGCTCGCTCGCTGTTGCTTTTACTTGAACTGCTGCCCGCTTGGCACGCAGCAATTAAGTTGTTGCATTTTGCACTGTCGCCGTCGACGTCAGCGCCGTCGTTGGCTGCCCGCATAAATTATTGCGTGTTGCATACAAAAGTGCGCTTAACGGCCCACTTGCCGCAGAGGCTCTCAAAAAGTGGCTGCTACAATAACAGCAGCAGCAGCAACAGCAGCAACAACAGCAGCAGAAACAACAACAAACGCAATTAACCTCCACAATACTTGACTTTCCCTTTTCTGGTACTCATTGTCGTAGCTTGGCTACGCAACTCGGCTAACAACTGTTGTCATAAATTTAAAAACAAAAACAATTATCAGATATGATTTAGGAATATAGCGAAAATTTATTTTTGAAGTGTATGCTTTTTGTATTAATGAATATAAATAAGTATAGAATAGTTAGAACAATACTATATTATAGTATAAATACAATAAATATGATTAAATAGTTAATTTAATTTTTTATTAACAAAACATATTTTATTTATAAGACTAAAACTTGGAATAGGCTCGCAAAGAAGTGAAAGTAGAAATTAGACTAAAATAAATTGCTAAAATAAATGTCAAACTAAAATGTTTAAAAGGTGATTAGAATTTTTATAGCTTGGACAATATTTTAAATATTTTTAAAAAGCTTAAATAATTTAAGAGCTTATAAAGTTTTTATATTAAATGGCAGCTAGCTACACAGTACCTCTTAAAATTAAACATTATATTTTTATATGTTATATTTAATTTGGTTTTTTTTTTGTGGTTTTAAAACAGAGCAAATTTTTTTTATTTTATTTGATGAAATATTTAAAGCGTATATAAAACACAAAATACACAGAAAAAAACTCAAAACTTAGTAAATTTGTTTAAATCAAAGAGAGAGCGAAGAATCTGTCTAAAATTATGAAACTTTAATTTTAATATGCAAAGAATTTAGTACGTTAACATACTGAAAAAAAACGAACAAAATTAACTTGCATTTGCTAAGCTAATTGGGAATATATATACACATAAATTACACATATATATGATATATATAAATATATATAAATTTATCGATTGTTTGTTTGCAAATGAGATTCATGCAAATATTTATGGCTGCATAAAGTTCCATAGCGCAAAGCTCAAATGCGAGGCAGGTTTATGGCCATTTCGAATGAAACTGCAGCGCTCAGCATTTGGCCAGGTCTTAAGTGTTATGGCCTTCTCTATGCTGCTGCTGGTGCTGTTTTAGCCTAGGTAAGAATTGGCGCATTTAATGCAGCAGCAAGAGGAAGCAAATTGAAAAAATTTTTATCTGCGGGCCCATAAATTCTATTTTGGCAGCCAGCCCGTGGCACGAGCATCATCCGCTTCTTTTCTCTCTCTCTCTCTACCTATCCCTCTCTCTCTCTCTGTGTTTCTATTACTCTCTAATGAGCAGGTTAGAAATAAATGAGGCTAATTTTTGGCGCGCACAATTCTCAAAATGAGAATAACAAAATTCAATTAAACATATAAAAACAAGAGTTCGAGCTGCATATACACACACACACATCAAATATATATATATATATATATATATATATATATATATATATATATATACTGTGTATACTGCTGTGAATTCCAGAGTTTATATCAAATTGACTTCATTTTGTCTCAACTAAAATATTTACGTTCCAGCGTGATAATAATAATGATTTTCCCTTCCTCTCGCTTCTTTTTGCAGCTTCGATGTGCGCGATAGTATGGCCATTGAGCAGCCCAGACATTGGTCAGCTCCGGAGGTGTTCGGTTCACGTGCCAAATTTCATTTTGAATCGCAGCCAGCCACATTGGAAATTAAGGTAAGATTCGCCTCGGTTAACCGGCAACTCACGGTTGCTTTTTACCTTTTTGTGTGAGTGAAAAAATACGATTGCGACCTTAATGAATTTTTCAAATATTCCATACAATTTGAGTGTATTTGAGAAATGGTCCAAAGTGCAACACATTAACTTTGCAAAACAAACATTTAGCTTGAAATGCGTAGTAGGAAAACTAAGTGTAGAGTAGTTAGGATGATAGACTAGAATATGCCCTGTACAGATCTTAAAACTGCGATAGAATATGCTGTGTAAGCAGTAGAAATCACAGAAGGAAGTCATAATATAATATCGTTTTTTATATTATATATAATAAGAGTATTTTTTAATGCATTCCTAACTAAAAGTTAACCAAATATTCAGTGCATATTGTGGCCTAATTGAAGGGAAGCTTTTTCCCATCGAATTCAGTTAGTTGTTCCATAGCATTTGAAAAGGGCTTTCCAATTTGGAAAATCTGCAAATGGCAATTGGCATTGCGAATGCGTGTTAAGAATTAAGTCAGCGCGAATAACAGCAAGCGGATGTACCGAACATTTTGCAAATGGGCAAAATGGCGGAATGGAATGCCAAATAACGTTAGAAAGCTGCGACTGCGACGCTGGCTGCGCCGGCGACGACGACTGCGGCTGAGGCAATGCGAAAACAAATTTAGATATCAAAAGTTGTTAAATTGCCTCGCGCACGCGAAATGTTTATTAATGTCTTGCATGTTTACAGATAACTTGATTTACCGTTATTGTCATGCAATGCATATAGACACACACACACACACACAGAGACATACCAGAGACACGCTGTGTGTGGCAGCTACTTGAACTAACGCCTCAGCATGTCTTTGCGCCACAAACCGTTGACTTTTAAAGGCCAACTTGACTTGGGTTCGGGTTCCTGGCTGTTGGAATCCTTGGACAATTCCTGGCTTAAGACAACCTGCTGGGAAGGCTAACGAGCTGCATGTTCACACACGCACACACAGGGAGTTGAAAATGAATGTGAAATGCACACGAAATGGCAGCCTGAAGGATTCCTCTATAAATTTGCCATTCGCGGTTGCAGCAAGATAGAACAGAAAATCATATATGTATGTTATATATACATATATATATATATATGCATATATAACTCAAATAGTCCCATGAATTATGTGCGACAAATGGTTGGCATCTGGATGAGGAGTTGACTTTATAAATGAATTTTAATTGCCACTCAATTGCCGGGAAATTAACCTAACGCCAGGATGACTATAAATTACAAACAAGTAGTTAGAGAATACATCCACTCTAGCATATGCAATACGTTTGATTTTATCAATGAACAGTGGGAGCAGAGAGTAGGTCGATTATAAATTAGCATTGAATCGGGATTTTTAATTTCAATAATAATTTATTAAATTAATTTTATATTATTGTGAAGACTCCAAAGAGGCAGAACTCAAGCAGCTACCTCTGAGACACATACATTATATTTAGTAAACAAAAGTCACGAATTAGAACAAGTCTAAAACCCTTAGTTAGCTCAGTTAATTTAGTAGTAACTCATCTAAAGATGTCCCAACAGCAAAGTAGTTATTATTCTGAGAGCACATATAGCTAAATTACAAATGAACTAGTCAAGAAAAAAGAACTAGTTCAATTTCTATATTTAGCATTTGCGCAAAAGAGCTTTGCTGCTCAATAAGCCAAAAGAACCAGCCTGAAGCACCAGTTCTTTCAGCATTTGTGCTATAAAAGCTTTATTTATTTATGCATTAAGATGCTACAACTAGTTACATGTCAAAAGCACTAGTTCATTGAGCAAGCACAACTTGTCTTATAGAGTTTAACTAAACATTAAGTAACGTTACGATAAAAACGAACGAGTGCCCTGCTCTAAACAGACTTGTAGTAAATACCTGTTAGTTTGTAAATAACAATGAACTAGAACTAACAATGCACTGCTCTGCGGAACTAGTTCATTTGTTATAAGCACACAGGCTGAATTGAAACCATTCATTGACTGAGCTGCTCAGCCATAATTAAGTGAACTGAGAGAACTAGTTGGCAATTTGAACGCTTAGCCAGGACTAAGGCTTACGATGTATATCTGAAGTTGGCATGGCACAGACCACAGAGTCCTGCGACTTGGGTGACATGAAATAATTGAAAATTACATGGCTGCAAGCAGAAACAACTGTGTTATGTGGGTGAGCAGGTGTGCCGTCGTGTAGGCGTAAGAGTGTGTGTGTATGCTAATCAGCTGTTTCCTTTCACATTCACACACACACACACACATATACACACGTGTATATTAATTTATCGTATGAAATTTTGCAGGATGTCAAAAGGCATGATCAAGGCATTTACCGTTGTCGTGTCGATTTTCGCACAGCTCAAACACAAAGCTTCCGTTTCAATTTGTCTGTAATAAGTGAGTATCTAAAATGCACACACACCGACACACACACACACACACACTATATGACATACCTATCTACCTATCAATTGTTGCCGTTGTTTTTAGTACTTCCGGAGCAGCCCATCATACTGGACCGTTGGGGTCGTCAACAGAATGGCACACAATTGGGTCCCAAGCAGGAGGGCGATGATATTGTTATCACTTGTCGTGTGGTGGGCGGTAAGTAAGCCCAACTATCCTTGCTTAACCCCATTGCCAATGGACACGCCTCCTATTTCTTTATACTTTTTTGGTTGCTCTGCCTCACACACACACATGAGTATATCCGCTCGACCGGCTAGACAATTTCCTGTTAATTTCCTTAAAAGCTTTGGCAAAAAAAAAAAAAAAGAAGAAAAATAACTGAAAAAATCCTCAAGCCGCACTTTGACCGAAAATGAAAATATCACAAAGTTTGCTTTTGCTTAGCTTTCGTTTTTCTTTGCGCCATTTTCTCTCTCTTTATTTTAGCCCTGCCAAAACTTGACTTTTTAATTTGCGCTCCCTATACGCTGCCTCTATATATGTGTATATACAATTGTGTTTTCCTTTCGTCTCTTTCGACTCGATTTGATAGGTCGACCGCAACCGCAGGTCCGCTGGCTCGTAAATGGACTACTTGTCGACAATCAAAACGAGCACAATTCCGGCGATGTTATCGAGAATCGACTGTTGTGGCCATCGGTGCAGCGCAACGATTTGAATTCCGTATTCACATGTCAGGCATTGAATACGCAATTAGATAAGCCCAAGGAAAAGAGCTTCATACTGGATATGCATCGTAAGTGGACTACACTCAAAATTCCTAGCGCCTAGATACAGTTCGCTGCACACAGCTGACCCAAAACAAAAGAAAAGTAAAGCGGAAAAGTACGATTAATTAAGCTGAAAAGAAAGATGGATAAATTACTTCGATATATTTATTTCAATAGTTCAGTAAAGATCAAATTTTATATGCAGGTCAAATACATTAACTGAACTGTTTTAGTTGAATCTTAACCTTTTGCAATTAACAAGTTAATTTGACAAATGAAAGTAAAGCAGAAAAGGGAGACTAATTAAGGGGAAAATTAATATAGATATATTATTCAGATATATTTATATCAATATTTCAGTAAAGATCAAATTTTATATATATTCTAAGTAGGTCAAATACATTAATTGAACTGTTTTAGTTGAATCTTAACCTTTGCAATTAACAAGTTAATTTGACAAATGAAAGTAAAGCAGAAAAGGGAGACTAATTAACAGGAAAATTAATATAGATAAATTACTCAGATATATTTATATCAATATTTCAGTAAAGAATAAATTTTATCTGCAGGTCAAATACATTAATTTAATAATTTAATTAGACAAATAAAAGTAAAGCAGAAAAGTAAGACTAATTTAGTTAATTAAGAGAAAAATAATATAGATAAATTACTCAGATATATTTATATCAATAGTTCAGTAAAAATCAAATTTTATATATTTTCTAAGCAGGTCAAACACATTAACAGTTTCACTGGAATCTTAGCCCTTGCAACTAACAATTCAATTAGACAAATGAAAATATTATTGATCAAGGCGAACGCTCTTAATTATTTCCAGAGCATTCGGTCAACAGCTTGTGTAAACATAAACAAATCCAATGCAATATATTTCATGACTTCACGATTGTAACGCAACATAAACAAGGAACAAGTTGAATATTGCCCATGCGCCGTCCAAGTAGCCATTAAATAATTACCACGTTTACAGTACAGAAATGAATGAATGAAGGGGCGTTAGACCTAGCATTAACCTCGCTCTATTTTCTGCTGCACTCGTGCTGGCCATTAGGCATGCAGAGGTGCGAGAGCAGGTATGTAGTCGGCACTTGAGTTGAGACGGCTCTTAGATGCTATCGTACGTGGAGTAGATACAAATTGTTAAAGCTCTAGATTATTTATATAAACCTGACATGCTATAAACAGGTGCAATAGGTCAAAGAAGCGAGAGCTTATAATTACAAGTTGAAGAAATGTTCAGAGAGAATGTTCAGAATAGCCTTGGGATAATATCTACTGCTAATTTATATGTTAGAAGTTCTGAGATCAATGCTAGAGATATCCCACACACTCTTCTATCAATAGCAATTTATCGTAGTTGGTTTAAATGCCATTATATAAATTATGAACTTTTTGTTCACAGTAAAACCATTAACCGTAAAAATTCTGGAGCCGCCCAGTTCAATGATTGCCGATCGACGCTATGAAGTTACCTGTGAATCGTCCGGTTCACGTCCGAATGCCATCATCACCTGGTACAAGGGAAAACGTCAATTGCGACGCACAAAGGTGAGTAGCGGGTGGGCGATTGGCATTGAGTTAAGGTATAGGGGAGCGTAGGCTTGACTCGCACCCGACCGCAATTGGCGTAGCTTGGCCAACACTTGTGGTGTAGCCACTGCCAAGGGTTACTAAAGGGGCTGTTGACTGACTCACGGTAAGTTATTGTATTTGCATAGGCAAGCCACAGTCACATACACACACCCACACCCACACACACACACAGGCACAGCCACACTGCAGCTCGTAACTCTTGGAAAAAGGGGGCGCAACACCCACTTGTTGTCCCTGGGCGTGGCTCACACTCGCCGCGCTCCGCACTCACCGTTAGAATAAACACAGATAATGTGATATAAACTCCACAATACACAACGTGCAGCAACGCCTCCCCGTCGCCCACTGCCACTGCCACGCCACGCCCCGCCCCGCCCGGCACCCGCAATCCTTTGGTTTTTCATTTTATTTGCTACGCTTTTCCTTTTGCCATTTTCATTCGTTGTTGTTGCTGCTGCCTTTGTTTTGCCTTTTTTGTTTCAACTTTGGACAAATTTATGGGAGTTTTAGCGCAATTTTGTTGCAATTCATTTTTGTGCCGCTCCGCTGTTGACTTACCCCAACGCCGCCCCTTCCGCCCGCCCCTGCCAAAAACAGTTGTTGTTTATGTCCATGTCTGTCCGCCTTATATGCATACTCGTTTATGCATACCAGCGCTGATTGCTTTGCCGTTTGCAGCTGCACTCCTTTAAAGGCCGGAAATGTTTTTCACTAGTTTTTCACGTGGCATAAAGTTGCCGTAATGCGGCAAAAGGCCGCCCTCTAGTCTACGGCAGCCAGACAGACCGACACACACACACACAGACACAGGGAGACAGCGAGAGTCGGGGGAACAGTCAATGTACTGGACATGCTTTTGCTACATGCCTTTTGGTGCCTTAGTTTCCACTCTAATGTGTGGACGATGTGGGTGGCTTTTATGTGTATGCCTCCCTCACTCTCTGAGTGTGCCAGACATAGCATAAAACTAAAGTCTAGCAACTTCATATGGAGCACGACATTAATCAACGTTTCGGGGCCAACGACTTAGCCGACAATCGAGTCGTTCGATACGAATTGCAGCTAATTAGATAGTCCGAACGTTGGCCCAAAACATGTTCTATGCATTGCTACAAAATAGCCAAAGTTTATAACTAGGTTAAACTATTTTCCAAAACTTATTGATAAATAGGGCAGGCATTTGAGTTAATTCAATTATTATTATATTATTATTATTCTATTATCTTATTCTACTATTATTTATATATATTTTAAATATTTCTAACTCTAAACTTTTAGTTTTTTATGTTGGCCATTTATTTCGCTAACGGTTCAGCTATTAACACCTTCTGAAGAAGCAACTGCAAAAAACGTGCCACTACAACAGCCCCCCACTTACTTTGGCATGTAGTTGTATGTGCATATTTCACGCCTTTTGCAGTCGTTTAGCAAGTTTCGGTGTCTGGCCGCCAGGGGGAGACACCCGCCCATGCAGGCACGTTTAAAAACGAACAATTTTATGACCTGTTCAACTAACAGCAAGAATAACGACTACAACAGCACAACTAATTATGTGTTGTTGCTGTTGCTTGGCGCTATAAAATTTATAATACCCACACAAGGCACATAAAACCCAAAGTATACAGCAATAAATTTTAAATTGCAAACATAAAATATTTCGACAAATTTGCAAAAAAAAAAAAACACACACACAAAGAAAACAATGAACTGAACGCCTTAGGACATTTTTTTGGTGTAAAGGGGATTCCACACTCGCTGCTCTCTCTCTTTTGCTCTAAGGCCGAAACTTAATTAATGCGAAAACACATTTTGCAGGACGACATATCAAAGAACTCGACACGCTCCGAGCTGAGCTTTGTGCCCACCACAGACGACGATGGCAAATCGATAACATGCCGTGCGGAAAATCCAAATGTGAACGGCCTCTATTTGGAGACCATGTGGAAATTGAATGTCGTTTGTAAGTATTACAAATTGTGTTTAAGTCTAAAATATATATATATATACATATATACTTATATACTGTGTACGCTGAAAGTAACGAAAAAAAGTAAGCATTTGCCGACAGCTAGCAGAAAGGTAGACAGCCAGCTAAAATTTATTACGTCGTCGTCGACGCCGTTGAAAGCCTTTAAAATGCAAATAAATCAAAGACAAATGACAAATTGTGAATAATTTGCCATGGGCCAGAAGGCAGCCGCCACGTTACCACCCAAAAAAACAGCCCCAGCTCCCACTGCCACTCCATACCTTTGCACATACAAACCGCTCGCGGAGAGCATTTCAGCGCCCCAAATGAAATATGTGGGCTAACAAAATGTATGGCAGGCGCTTAAATTAAATGAAGGACTTTACGTACTCATACCCCCGCTATGCTACTCCAAAACAAAATTCAAATATCCCCAAAGAAAAATCATATCAAAGCAAATGTTTTGCCCAGGCTAAGATGATTTTCTAGTTCTAATCAGGCGCTGTTAATGGCAATGGAAATGTTGTGGGAGCTATGGCTAGGTTGGGTTCTGCTGGGTTAGGGTAGGTTGAGCTGGGTTAAGGGTGGGCGTTAACTTAGGTCAGCTTAGGCTAGGCTGGAGTAGCATATTGATTTCGTTAGGTCAAGTTTGGTCAGGCAAGCTGGGGCTAGGATATGTTTACGTGCACTAGATTATCTCTTGAGATTGAGTTATGTAATATAGGGTTCTATATCATATGATAAAGATAAGTTCAGTTCACAGTAAAGCATAGACTACAGACCATTTCTAAATACAAGTTCAGCTTTTGAATAGATGTGCTTTTAGCCGAGGAAAAGAAGCAGAGTTGAGAATACTTTACCCAGTTGAAAATTTAGATATTGAATACTTGACAAGGCCGATCTTTAAGCTGCGTAATGCTTCGACTCAAAAATCAAAGCAAAATCTATAAAGATCGTAGTTAAAGATTAACAAACTGCCAAACATGCTGTTGGCCCAAATTGCGCAGTCAATAGGTCAATAGACGCCAAAGTAAGCACTGCGGACATCGTAAAGTGCCAAAGTCGGAGTTGTGTTTGAGTTTGCGTTACGTATACGTCGCGTTGTATTTTATTATTTCGACTGTGTGTACGTTGTGTGCACACACACAAACACAAACACACGCACACTCCATGTGTGTGTGTGCGGCACATCACGTAATGTTGTTTCTTTGCTTTTCACTTGCTCAAATATTAAATTTTTACTGCAATCTGCTGACGTCGCAAAGAAAAGAAGAAAATACATAGCAAGAAAAACATGTTGCTGTTTAGGCCTGATATCAAGCAAAACATATATATATATATTTAATATATGTATAAGGTGATATTATTATATTTTTTATGCGCCACACATACTTCTTGGCTTCGCATTTTATATTTTAGAAAATTATTTTTTATTTGTTTGTTTTTGTTGTTGTTGTTGTTGCTTTTTCGCCTTTTAGGCAATGCCGTTCGTAACATTGACGCAAATAAAGTTTATGATCAGCACGTACGACAGCATATTCATATATAAATAAACACACACCCACACACGCACACACCCAGAGACACACAAGGCAAACGCTTGATTTTTAAAGCAAGTAAAATATATGCATATATAAATTATGCTTTTTAATTTGAGCACATGTAATACCCTACAGTCATTTGATTATGTCTTAAAAAAGTGTTCCTATAAAATGATAATGCATTTTTATAGTCTCGATTTAAGTCTTAATCAGCTCGACTGTAGCTTAAATGATGTGCTCAAACGAAGCTTGAAATTTTCCTATGTATTATATACTAAGGAAAATAGTTATATAAAATATTTTTGAAACAGTTTTTTTGTATATTAATTATTATAATTTAATTTTGATTTATTTCAATCAAGTTTGAGTGATAGTTTGGCTGGTAAAAACGTTTGAGAATTCATAAAGAATTTTTCTAATTCTCCTGAAATGATGCCTTGCTGATCTCTCAGATATATATTTACTTCAAACTTGATTCCCTTAGAAATTTCTACTGTCTATAGAGCAGCTTTGAGTCGTTTATGTGTTTTTCAACTCAATTATTTATGTTTCGTATTTTTAATTTGAACTCACATGGCAAATATGTTCCGCATCGTTTCGCATTTGTTGCTTATGCTGTCGTGTTGTGTTGTGGCATGTCCTTGTTGTTATCCTGTTTGCTGTTGTTGTTGTCCTTTCTATGCGATATCTCTATTCAGCATCATGCCTGAGTTATTATGCCAACTTCGTTTTGGCTTCTTAGGCACGGCATTTGGCAAGGCCATTTGCCATGCTTTATGCCAGCCTGAAGAGGGGTGGGCGTGGCAGTGTGGTTGCTGCTGTTGCTGCATTCCGTACGTATAATTTTCTTTATGTGTAAGTGCGCGCGCGCGCTCTGTGTGTGCGTATGTGACACGCTCGTTTTAAAATTTATAATGTGGCCCCGGCAAACAAGGCAGCAGGACAACAAAACATGCAATGCAATCACAGACATAGAGATTCCCATGAGCGCACTACACAGACAAGATATTTATGTGTGTGTGTGTGTGTGTGTGCATGTCCCTCGACCGTTGTTTATGGCTGGGCTACATTGGCGCTCGTGCTGTGTGCGTGCCTCGCATTTTGGAAAAGCGAAAGCATCGCGATATTTTTCTCAATGCTGCAATTCGAGTTGATATTTTTAAAGTGGACGCACGCCAGAGCATAGCAATAGAAACGCCAGCTTATGCTCTCTAGTTATGATATATGCGCACATATAAAAATATCTCTCCATATATGCATATATGTGCATATATATATAAGCCTGCGAGCCAATCAGCCAAGATTGCCTTAAAGCTGTGAGCTCCAAAATTATATTCAGCTGTACTTTTTGCTCTACTTATGCTCCAAATGTGGCACAGGCTATGATTGATGAACCACTGTGGAGAGAGCATGGCTATGCAGAGGGATTTGAGAACGAGCATTGGCATAGCAGAAATAGATATTAAAAGCAATTTGTACGGAAGCAATTGATGTGTATCAAATATTTGAAATATTGCGTTGGAAAGTAAAGCAATTAATAAGGAATAGAATATACAAGACAAGTAGAAGGTTATAGCAAGCCATGGATGTGCTAGGCATAGGCACAAAAAAATACATATTAAAATAAAAATTATAAAAGGAATATATACAAAATTAATAGAGTAAGCATAGATTGAGAAATAATTATTTGAATAGATATGGGCATAAGAAAGATAAGAATTAGTATGAGACGAATTTATTTATATACAAAAAAGTATATGAAAAGAAGAAATTTAGACAACACAGGCTTTGAGTTAAGATAAATAGTAATTTAAAAAGAAAAAAGATATAGAAATAATTATTTGAATAGATATGGGCATAAGAAAGATAATAATTTGTATGAGTTGAATTTATTTATATGCAACAAAGTATATGAAAAAAAAGTTAAGATAAAAAGTAATTTAATAAATTGAAAATCTACTAAAAGATCTAAATACTATACAACTTAGCTTTAACTTTCAGATAGTATTTTCCTTTGTGAAGCTTTGTCAATTCGAGAATCTGTAGAATAGTGTATCTTTATGCAAGCCACAGCTGCAATATTAAAAATCTGGTCCAGGTGTAAATTAATTGCAGCTGTTATTCCAGATATATTTGTGCTCAGATTTAAGTGCTTTAAACATTTTTATGGGAATGAAGCAAAACTTTGTTGTCCCTTAACTCTCAGCTCCATTCCATTTGCAGTTAATTTTTGGCTTTAAAAGCGCCGTAGCTTAGCCTTAAAATTGCCAAATCGCAGCGCTGCTCATATATCATTTCGTATGATATAATAAGGCAACTTTCATTTGCACATAAATTGCTGGCGGCTCGAAACGCAGCAGACGCTCGATCGATAGTCTAAAACCGAAAAGTGGGCGAGTTGGGGCAAGTTGTATGGCTCGTTCTCTGCTGTTTTTATTTGTGCAGTTTGCTGGCAGCTAACGGTAAATGATAATCACAAAAATGGCCTGCAACATGTGTGCGGAAATACGGCGTCGCGACTTTCGACGAAAGAGTTTTTGCAGCGGGTCCCTTTCGAGCACTTTTGCTGATTGGCAAGGCGACTGCCTGGGCTCAGACCTTTCCATGGATGATGACGCCGCGGCGAGTAGGGGCGGGCGCAAAGTAAACTTTGCGAGGCCATTCAAAAGTGAGCAAACTTTTGGCCTCATCGTCGTTGTCGTCGACGTCGTCTAACTCTTGACTGGCGCCGTTTGGCTTTGGCCGCCAATAACTCAACAATATTAAGGTTGGCACGTGGCACGTCCTTCCTTCAAATGTTCAACGTTCAACGTTCAACATTCTGGTTGCAGCCTTTTTGAGGTCCTCTACTCGCCTGTGCTGTGTTTGTCGCAAAGTTTGTGGCTCGTTAAGCAAATTCAAACGACTTAAGCGGCAACACATGTTCGCAAGCAGCGCCACAGGCCAGGCGAAACGATCCGTGTTACTTGTCCCCAGTTGCCATTAGGCTCTGTTGTTGCCACAACTCTTTGTTGATGTTGCTGTCGTTGCAGCAAATCGCTCATATTTGCAGGCACTATTAAATCAAATAGATCACTCGACTTATTGCGCAGAATGTGGCAGAGTAAAGGGGCACTAGATGCACAGCAGCAACATCTATTGAAAATAGCTCAAGTGTAACAGATTTTCATCTCAATCAATCAATCAAATTCTTATCCAGCTATGCCAAGCCTCTGCTGACTCTTATCAGCAGTTTATCATTTATCAATTTACAGCTTTCTTCTAATACCTTTCTATAATTGCTTGCAGATCCTCCATTGGTGACGCTGCGCTTGGGCTCCACATTGACACCGGATGATATCAAGGAAGGCGACGATGTTTACTTCGAGTGTCACGTACAATCGAATCCTCAATGGCGGAAACTGTTGTGGTTACATAATGTAAGTCGCGCCAAGCCAGCTGGAACTGAAACCCCAAGTACCCCAAACACACAATGGCAACAGGAACTGAGCTTCAGGTCGTGCTTGCGAGCTCGTGCTTCAGCCTGTGCTCTGTGCTCTGACCCCGGCTGTCTGCTTGGCTGCTCTCCATTCATTTGCTGTTTAAGTGTCAATAGCATTGGCTAGTTGCGTTGCAACTGCTGCTGATGCCAATGCCAACGCTGATGCAGAAACTGATGCTGTTGCTGTTCCCTGCTGCATTTGCTCATTTCAATTCATTTCACACCAAGAATGACGGTCGACAGGGGGTTGTAGTGTGGGGCCGGGGAGCTAAGAGTGACGCCGCCATATGCCGTTTCATTTCGTAAAATAGTTTTGGGATTTGCGGCATTGATTTTAGCAACGTTTTGGCTGTCGCTCACTTGCAGTTGCCGCCTTCCTTCCTCTCAATCAATCAGCAAAGAGCATACGTACGGCTAACTGACATGAAGTCAGCCAAGTTGTTGGCTGTTGCTTTAGTATTGAATGGTTTATCAGTGGCATGGACTTGAAGCTCGCCTCGATTGTTTCACTGCAGCTCAGGCAAATTGAAATTGCAAACGTTTGCCGAAAATATGACAGAAGCTGTTAAGAAAATGCTAGCCAAAGAGCGTTTGCGTGAATGATATATATTAATTGAAAATAGTTGAACTGACGGAAACTGGACAAGGAGAAAAGTGTATATATATCACCTATAGATCTTATATTTACCACCTTAGCAATACCACCTATAGATCTACGCTCTGTCACTAGAAATGCAAACTCCGAATTAGTTTATTTTCTTTTGACAATATTTCGACAACATTTTCTTAACCATGCACAGCAGACAGCAAGGCCTTGGCGTTATAATAATAATATTATTTTTGTTTCAAGCAATAAATATCTTTTCTTTATGTTTGTTTTCTCTGCTGCCTCCAACAGGGCATTCACTTGGAACACAATACGTCGGCTCGCGTCATACGCTCCAATCAGAGCCTTGTGCTGCAGAAGATAACGAAACATTATGCGGGAAATTATGCGTGCAGCGCCATCAACGACGAAGGCGAAACGGTCAGCAATCAGTTGCCGCTGCGCGTTAAATGTGAGTATAAATATGTATATTAAGAGAAGCTGCAACAGGCAGCATAGATCAGCCATATACCATAGAATCGCAGAGCGTTGTTATTACTTTTTTGTTTTCCTGCATTCATATATTGAAAGAGTCACAGATCAAGCAATACCCTGTAAACCTAGGCATTTCTTTCGTTTTCCCATTGCCTGAGTTGCTCTTGCGTGCAGTCTGTTGGAATGCCTCATCTGTCCGTGTGTCTGGCTGACCCTTTGAGCCATGTTTCTTATCATGAAGTCAGACAGCGACGTTGTCAAGCTGCAGCGACTGCTCCGCAGCTCTCTCAACCTTTACTTTTTTTGATGTATTGCCTTTTCCCCCTTTTTTGTTGCGCTCGACCGTTTTCATTTTACAACTGGAGCTCTTGAGCTGAACTCGAGTTGAGTTGTTGTCGCTGTCGTCGTCGTCGTCGTCTCGATGTGGCGCAGTTGCAAGTCAAGGCTGTGAAAATATTTTTCATTCCGTTTTTTGCATAAATACAACATTTTGCCAACAGCAGAAGCAGAAGCAGCAGCAGCAGCAGCAGCAGCAGCAGCAGCAGTAAACCGTCTCGCAGACCCTCATCATCAAACCCTTGCTTCGCTTATCTGGAAAATCCAGTCGCTTTTCATATGCTTGCCACATGCGTTGCATCATATTTCATTGCTGCTGCTGCTGCTGCTGCTACTGTTGCAGCTGCCGCGGAATTATGCTTCAATTTAACAGGCCGCGAAATGTTGCCAGCGTTACTCTGGCTGCTGCAGCTGCGCTTTAATTCAAGCAATTTGACAAGCGCCTTCGCTCGGCTGCTGATCGCGCTCGTAATGAGTTTCGGAGCCGGATTTAGCTGCGCATAGTCTGCTGCCCGTCCTTTTATATTTCACTTTTTTGTTTGCCTCTGAGCCATACACATGTTGCAACAGCAATTCAAATGCCACTTCTGCTTCTCCTCCTTGCCACTTGCAACTAGACAGACGCATTGCTTCGAGCCATAAATTAAATGCCTCGACGAAGCAGCCCTGCTGCTGCTGCTGTTGACGTCTGCTGACATTTTGGTTTTTGCTCAAGCGACAAGCTTATATTTCTTTTCTAGAGCAGCTAATGCTTAAAGAAGCGTTTCATAAATATGTTGTATATGTATATGTGCGCATATGTTTACAAACTGTAATGATAGTTGGGTTACTATAAAAATAGGATTTTTTTTAGCTATTTTTGGCCGAGAATAAGTTAATCTTCAGCTTTAATACGTTTATTCTTAATACAAAACTGTAGTTTATTTATAGAAATTTGTGCTTTTAATTTCTTATGAATTTTATCAGTAATATAATCTATGAGGAATTCCAAATTCACTTTGCCTTCTCACGCTTTTAGTATATACGTCAAATACCAAAGGCAAAATCTGTTCCTCTCTCTGTCTCCCTCTCTCTATATCTATTCGTATATCTTTCGCCTTCTTCATATCCCTCTCTTTGTCGCTCTCGCTGTATATAGCTTTCTATCTGTGCCTTCTGCTATCTATCCCCCTCACTCGCTCTGCATACATATAACTTGCTCTCATTATGCCTCACTCTCTCCCACTCGCTCTCTCTCAATGTCATTTCCTACATTACGTTTGAAGTCATTGAACTTTAGTCGTTTGTATAAGCAACAAGTGCTTATTCAAGTGCTGTCTCGAGTGCTGCCTAATTAGCTGTCGACTGATCAAACAGCCCTCGTGAACTCGCAATTTAAATAAGCAACAACAACAATTACAGCTAGAGAAGGAAGCGGGGCTGTTATTTTTTGGCTAATTAATTACGCCCTTTTGTAAATTTTAAGACAAACAATTCATCAAAAATTCAACTTGGCTGACTGCTAATGCGTTTGGTTTTGTCTGCTGGGGGTTTGGGGTTTGGGCTTGGGCTTTTGGCCTTTAACGAAGCGGATGAAAGGTGCGCGTGGGGGCGTTCTGTTGACAACAACAACGTGAAATTACGCATACGCCACGTGTGCTGTCAGCTAATAATCCTTTAACATTATGAACGCCTTATTTACCTGCGAGTACTAAATCATGTTGCCACATCAATTAATTTCAAGTAAACAAGGACGCCAACGCGTTGCCACCCAGCGTTGCCTTTGACACTGACTTGACTGCCGCCACGGCCGCACCCCCCCCACCGCCCTCTCGTACTCTAACTGATGACTGAGCCGCCCAGCTGTCTAAATCACTTTTGTGCGTTTGCCTCAACGTGATCAACGCCCCAGCAACTTGGCAAGCAAAAGAAAATGAGTTGCCTCATTTTTCTCTGCGTTTTCCTGTGTTTTTTTCCTACTTTTTTACTAACAACATTTGCGAGCTTTGTGACTGCTATAAATGTGGCCATAGATGTCTTGTCTTGATTAGTATATGAATTATTTTTGGTTTTATTGATTTTGTGTGAATTTCAATCAAAGTACTAAATAAGACTGAGATATTGGTGAATAATATTTAATATAAATAATAAACAAATAAATTATAATATATACATAAAATGATATTATAAATAATGTTTAGTGAAGCTTTATTTCATTTCATTTTTGTAGTTTGAAGAGTTGAATTTCCTGATTTGATCAGACTCTCTTGCCCTGTTGATGACACAAAAGATAATTTCGTATTCATTTGCTATTCCATTATCTAGCTATACATAGGGTATATACTTAGTTAATACTATACATACTTATGCTTACGTACATCACTTTGTTTCACCTTTCAGATACACCTGTTTGCAAGCACACGGATCGCGTTATACTAATTGGTGCCTCCAAGGATGAGACTGTTGAGGTTATATGCGAGATTCAAGCGGATCCGCCGCCACGGTATGTATTAACAAAAAAAAAAAATAAACAAGAAAAGAAAAACAGAAAGGAAAATTCGTTGCCCTGCAACCCTTCGCTCGCAAAGGTTTTCCTTTGCTCGCCTTCTTTTTGTTGTAGGCAATTGCTTCCGGTTTCCTGTTGAATGGAAGTTTGCTAAATTGACAAATGGCTGTAATTGTGTGTGTGTGTGTGCGTGTGTGCTTGCGTGGGTGTGCGTAACGGAAAATGCTGTTTATATGTGAGGAAATGTGCGAAATTCAACAATATTTTGATTTGCCGACACTTCAAAGCTTTGTCCTCGCTTGCCACGCCTTTGTGTTTGTGAGGCACTTTAATTTATTTTAAATATGCAGCTGCCGCCGCTGAGGGCGCCAGAGTGGAGGGGGTGGGTGGAGCACTGGTGGTGTTCACTGCTGGACTCTGTTAATTCGCATTGCCACATTTGCCCCACTTTAATGTTTTTTTAATGAGCCAGCCGCCGCTTTCGCATCACAACGCACCGCTGTGGCCTGTCGGGCGACTTTATGCTTCTCTCTCTGTCTCTCTCTCCCTCTGTCGCTTTCTCTGCGTCTGTCCAGCTGCCTTGTCTTGTATTTAATTTCAATTTTTCGTTCTGTTTTCCTTTTTTTCTGTGTTAGGGCTTGCTTGTGTTGCTGTTTTTGCTGTTGTCTGTGGCTGCGTCTTGAGTTGACGCTTTATGCTAAAATAATTAATCATTAGGTGGCGCAAAATATGCGCGTTGTTGCCGCTGGCAGCGCAGCTGCCCGCTGTAATTGTTGTGGTACAGCTGCGAGAGGGAGCTCTAGGCTGGGCGGGACGCCTCGCCCGGGGGCCGTTGCTCAGCTTGAGCATTAAAAAAACTGCTGCAGACTTTTGAGGCTGGCTAAGGGGCCATGCGCTGCTGGGCTAGCCCAAGGTGGGCGGCTACAAGTTAATTTATCAGCATTTAACTGCTTGACAGCGATGCCAGCTATTTTGTTGATCCTCTTTTTTCCGGTATTTCTTTTTCTATTTACGTAATTTTTAAATTAAAGTATCATTTGGTTGAAAGTGCAAATCATCGCATAGCATAAGAACTTAAGCAGAAATCTTTAAAAATAGAAATTGTACGTCTAGTCTAACGGAGCACTTATTTTAACAGTGATGCTAACATAGCGTAATTTTGCTTCTGTTGTCGCTATTGTATGCATATACAACTTAACGAAAGGAACTTGGACAGTTCTTCTAATTATGCGCTCAAAGTCGTATAATAACATATTGCTGTTAGCGCTGCTGTTCTCTCTTCCGACTGTTAAATACCTAGCTGTTCACAGTGGGGTCAAGCGCTGGCATTTAACAGCGCTGTTAATCCAATATCTTCGCTTTTTGTAAATTTTTTGTGATTTTTATGCTGCAACAGATACTTTATTGATTGATTTCATTAATTTAATATGTATGTATATAAGTTAACACATAACATTTAATATAGGGTATTTCATAAGTTTATAACCAACCCTCGCTATCGCGTGTTTCGTAAGTTAAGAAACAGCCCTCGCAATTGCGACACTGCATACTTTGTATCAGCGCGCTATAACTGCAATGGTCAGCGGCGGTAACCAGATACTTTTGTTTACTGCAAGAGTTTCCGTTATTGCCTAAGATTGCTGAGTCGGCTTGCCGACCATGACATTGTGGTGTGATGCGAGTTTTGGCTTAGCTTAAGTGAAATATTCTATGTAGCTAAAAATCAGTTTTGCATTGAAGTTTGAAGAATAAACCCGCACTACTCCGGCACACCGCCGTAATCAAATTGTTATATTTCTGATCATTGCTGAGCCACAAGGCCAGTTAATAGAAAAGGGGGTGAAGTCAAACCCTCCAACATAATCATCATAAGAAGATTATAATTACCCGACCAACGCTGGACCTGCCACCGACGCCTAGCTCATCGCTGGACCAGCAACTTATTGATTAAGACTATAAATACCCGATCAACGCTGGACCTGCCACCGACGCCTAGTCATCGCTGGACCAGCAACATATTAATGGCGCCCAACGTAAAAAAAAAAAAAAAAAAAAAAAAAAAAAAAAAAAAAAAAAAAAAAAAAAAAAAATTTTTTTTTTTTGGAATTTAAATCAGAATTTCATATTGCGATTGCCTGACAACGTCATAGCCGAATGCGATGGAAAAACCCACACACTGCAGAGTTGCCAGCCACCTCTTCACCTGGAGCCACCTTTTGTCGTCTGGCATTAGAGAGTTCATGTGCCAAAGAGCCCATGCAAGGTGGCACGGCACACTGTGAAATCCAGCCGAGCACCTCAGGTAAATGCCGTCTACCTTGACCAATTAAGAAGCTACATATACAATAAGTCGCTTCTGTACATAAATATGAGTATTTTTCTACTTTAAATATTTGCAGGATTATGGTACACTGTCCTGCTGGGCGGCTAACGAAGTGGGAACACAGCAACAGCCCTGTCTCTTTCAAGTAGTTTTAGCAGGTAAGTTGACAGTAGCTCAACTACATATGTTAACGAGTATTCACTGGAAAGGCTGCTACGCTTAATCATCTGCATAAGCATTCGCTAGATAACTCAAATGTCTGCAGATGCTACAAAGAGCACTCGCTTTTAATCCCGATTCATGACTGAGCTACACAAAAGTACAGAGTGCGAGGAAGTCAGATGCACTGTATGGATTACATCACTAATAGAAAGTGCATATCGAAAGAGCGGCCATTGACGTAAAGAGTATCGAAAATAGCTCAGCCATTATCGCTCTTTGTTGTGATTCCCTTTCGTATGCTTGCGAAGCAGCGAGAGGAGAGTGGTTATTGTTTAGTAACACGAACAGAAAGAGTCACTTAACAGGGCAGCCATTGCTGTGCAGAGTGAGGGAGATAAGTCTATTGGTCACAGTAGTCATTATTGCGCTTTGGTGTGATCCCGATTCATTCGCTTATACTGCAGAGCAAGGAGAAACGGTAGTGAAAGTGTGAGTGGGAAAGCTGTATTGCAGGGTATTGCAGAAAAGAGAACATTGCTAAAAGAAGTAGTCTGAGGCGTCATTATTGCTCTTTGTTGTGATCCTGAGTTATTGCGCGTTACTATAGAGTAAATAGTACAGCAAGTATTAGAGTGAGAGGGTAAGCTATAATGCTTGAAATTCAGCAGGTATTTATCCGCAGATTGGCCATTTCTGTGTTGCAAATTTAAATTCATGCGCCTTGTTTAAGCGTAGCAACTGTTTTCTGTACTTTTGGCTATTTGGTGAGTCTTTCACTTTTGACCCCAACAAGTTAAGGCCACAAGCAAACACTCATGGGACTCTCTGTAACAACAGAACAACTGTTCATGGCTCTTCTTTCTCGTTTTCTCGTTCATGTTAATTTGCTGCACAACCTGTAAACATTGGACCCCATAAATCCCAATCTGGACCATCTGGGTGCAGCTCTGCCAAATGGCGTCAGCAATTGCAGCATCTTTAATCGCACCGAACTCAGTGTTGACATACAATGCATACCCGGCTACGATGGCGGCCTGCCACAGATATTTGTGCTCGAAATGTTTTCAACACGCACCGGCATTACCAGGTAAGCATATTAATCAGCTACACGTATAAACCGACAACTACAACAAACGGACGGCCGCACACAGAGAAAGCACGTTTTCCCTGTGGATTGCTTATAAGCGGATTACGTTTGGCAACTTAGCTTAACTCCCGCCCCAAGGCTCAGCTTTTCAGCATATGTCAAAAAAGTCAAATATGCGATTAAATATTACCTGAGGTTAATCAAACTGGGTCGCAAGTGTATTAATAACGTACAAGAAAGAGTTGAGCAGAGCAGCAACACAAACCAGAAGTTTTAGCTTTATAATATATGCGGATTTAAGTCTATCCAAAATAATATAGGTAGGAATATTGTATGGTATAGTAAAGTAACTTATCATTGAGATACTTTTGTATCTAACAGTTCAACAAGTATCTATAGCAACTCATATGTAAAGATATGTATACAGAACATTATTTATAGAGTAAATATAAATAAATGATGTACCACACCCACATTTGCTCCCGCGCACAATAGAAACCGCCTCCTTCTGCATATGACAGCTTCCTTAAAGCAATATTATTCAATATCAGCGGGGCGAAAGGCCAGGCATAAATGTATTCGCACCCACACCTGCTGCTCTTAGCAGCGGGCGGGTGGGTAATTAGGCATAAAAGAGAAGGCCTTCGGGCTAAGTTGTTTCCATTCCAAACGTTTTGCCAGCGCAAATCAACAATTTATATGCATGTCAAATGCGTGTTTAAAAAGATGCGCATTTTATTACAGAGTCCAGACCCAAAAATCGAATCGTATTCATATGCACACACGCACGCACACACATGCACACACACAACATTATGCGGCAGGCAATGTATAAATTTTCTCGAATCGAATCGAGGCAAAACCGCAAACATTTAATAAATATTGCTTATTAAAACAATGGTAAAATGGCCTGAAGGGAGCTGTGTTCTTTGGGCAGCAGCTCCGGAAAAATATCAAAGGACCCTCATTCAAAAAGACTGCGCTAAAACGCAACAACAACGTCCGTCATCAAATGTAAAAATGTTTGTTGAAGCAAAATGGCCATGTGGGGAAAAGAAGAGCCGATGAGCTGGGGGGCCCTATCACGAACTTTAAATACTCTATGAAGATAGAGATCGAGATAGAGATAGAGATAGAGATAGAGATAGAGATAGGAGAATAGAGATAGAGTAAGATCCGATAGCGATAGAGCATAGAGATCGAGATAGAGATAGAGATAGAGATGTTGCAAATTTAAATTCATGCGCCTTGTTTAAGCGTAGCAACTGTTTTCTGTACTTTTGGCTATTTGGTGAGTCTTCACTTTTGACCCCACATTAAGGCCACAAGCAAACACTCATGGGACTCTCTGTAACAACAGAACAACTGTTCATGGCTCTTCTTTCTCGTTTTCTCGTTCATGTTAATTTGCTGCACAACCTGTAAACATTGGACCCCATAAATCCCAATCTGGACCATCTGGGTGCAGCTCTGCCAAATGGCGTCAGCAATTGCAGCATCTTTAATCGCACCGAACTCAGTGTTGACATACAATGCATACCCGGCTACGATGGCGGCCTGCCACAGATATTGTGCTCGAAATGTTTTCAACACGCACCGGCATTACCAGGTAAGCATAATTAATCAGCTACCACAGTATTAAACCGACAACTACAAACAAACGGACGGCCGCACACGAGAAGAAAGCACGGTTCGTTTTCCCCTGTGGATTGCTTATAACGCGGATTTACGTTGGGCAACTTCAGCTTAACTCCCGCCCCAAGGCTCAGCTTTTCAGCATATGTCAAAAAAGTCAAATATGCGATTAAATATTACCTGAGGTTAATCAAACTGGGTTCGCAAGTGTATTAATAACGTACAAGAAAGAGTTGAGCAGAGCAGCAACACAAACCAGAAGTTTTAGCTTTATAATATATGCGGATTTAAGTCTATCCAAAATAATATAGGTAGGAATATTGTATGGTATAGTAAAGTAACTTATCATTGAGATACTTTTGTATCTAACAGTTCAACAAGTATCTATAGCAACTCATATGTAAAGATATGTATACAGAACATTATTTATAGAGTAAATATAATAAATGATGTACCACACCCACATTTGCTCCCGCGCACAATAGAAACCGCCTCCTTCTGCATATGACAGCTTCCTTAAAGCAATATTATTCAATATCAGCGGGGCGAAAGGCCAGGCATAAATGTATTCGCACCCACACCTGCTGCTCTTAGCAGCGGGCGGGTGGGTAATTAGGCATAAAAGAGAAGGCCTTCGGGCTAAGTTGTTTCCATTCCAAACGTTTTGCCAGCGCAAATCAACAATTTATATGCATGTCAAATGCGTGTTTAAAAAGATGCGCATTTTATTACAGAGTCCAGACCCAAAAATCGAATCGTATTCATATGCACACACGCACGCACACACATGCACACACACAACATTATGCGGCAGGCAATGTATAAATTTTCTCGAATCGAATCGAGGCAAAACCGCAAACATTTAATAAATATTGCTTATTAAAACAATGGTAAAATGGCCTGAAGGGAGCTGTGTTCTTTGGGCAGCAGCTCCGGAAAAATATCAAAGGACCCTCATTCAAAAAGACTGCGCTAAAACGCAACAAACGTCGTCATCAATGTAAAAATGTTTGTTGAAGCAAATGGCATGTGGGGAAAAAGAAAGAAGCCGAATGAGCTGGCCTATAACGAACTTTAAATACTCTATGAAGAGATAGAGATAGAGATAGAGATAGAGATAGAGATAGAGATAGAGATAGAGATAGAGATAGAGATAGAGATAGAGATAGAGATAGAGATAGAGATAGAGATAGAGATAGAGATAGAGATAGAGATAGAGATAGAGATAGAGATAGAGATAGAGATAGAGATTAGATAGAGATAGAGATAGAGATAGAGATAGAGATAGAGATAGAGATAGAGATAGAGATAGAGATAGAGATAGAGATAGAGATAGAGATAGAGATAGAGATAGAGATAGAGATGAGAGATAGAGATAGAGATAGCGATAGAGATAGAGATAGAGATAGATAGAGATAGAGATAGAGATAGAGATAGAGATAGAGATAGAGATAGAGATAGAGATAGAGATAGAGATAGAGATAGAGATAGAGATAGAGATAGAGATAGAGATAGAGATAGAGATAGAGATAGAGATAGAGATGAGATAGAGATAGAGATAGAGATAGAGATAGAGATAGAGATAGAGATAGAGATAGAGATAGAGATAGAGATAGAGATAGAGATAGAGATAGAGATAGAGATAGAGATAGAGATAGAGATAGAGATAGAGATAGAGATAGAGTAGAGATAGAGATAGAGATAGAGATAGAGATAGAGATAGAGATAGAGATAGAGATAGAGATAGGATAGATAGAGATAGAGATAGATGAGATAGAGATAGAGATAGAGATAGAGATAGAGATAGAGATAGAGATAGAGATAGAGATAGAGATAGAGATAGAGATAGAGATAGAGATAGAGATAGAGATAGAGATAGAGATAGAGATAGAGATAGAGATAGAGATAGAGATAGAGATAGAGATAGAGATAGAGATAGAGATAGAGATAGAGATAGAGATAGAGATAGAGATAGAGATAGAGATAGAGATAGATAGAGGTCATCCTCTTTGATTTTCCTTACTTTGATTTATTCTATGGAAACTACGAGCAAACCGTTTGAATAAATTACTCATATTTATTGTTGTTGTTGGAAATAGAGCAAAACTTTTTTTTTCGTCGTGAAGAGAATAAAATTCTCTTTGAGACGAAATGCATTGGTATGTGTTATCTTTAGTTGTATTGATAATATAGTGTGTTAAACATTGCGCACTGCAAAAAAAACATGCTGTTCGAATTAATAGTGGTTGGGGCTCGTAATAAAAAAGCTGAACCTTTTTAGCAATAATTATAAATTCAGATTCAGATTCAGATTTCTAGTCTTCTCTCACATTCTATATATTCATTCCTAAAGGTTATCCAGGCACATTACATATTGCTTCATGAATCTCTAATGCCTCAAACCGAGAGCATTCGTGGGGATGAAAAGATGATGCAAAATGTATATAGACATTGAACCCTAATATTTCAGAGTTTGGCAAAAAAATAAAAAAGAGGAAAAAGCGAGGCAAGAGACAGAAGACAAGTGAAAGCCGCAACAAGGCAAAAGGCATCAAATTTAAATTGAGGTCATGATTGGAGCAATGCTTTGGTTGGATTTGGGCTTCAGTTGTGTGTGTCTGGGGTATTGGGTTGGGGGCTTCGCTTGATTTGGGCCGCATAGTCCAAGGCTGCAATGTGAAAGGCGTAAGCTGCCAAAAAAAATCTCTCTCTATATATATATATATAGATATTTGTAAGAGGGTTTCTGTGCCAAGCTGACATTTGATTGCACATGATTAAGGGCTTAGAGCTGTTGATTTGCCGTGCTGATTTAATAATACATAATAATAATAATATTTTTGGGATGGCTTTCGATGTCTTTGATCAGATTCAATCTGAGCAACGCGGAGGAGGCGCTCTTCTCGCTGGAGAATCTGGACACGCTCACCTCGATGATGATGCAGGAGAACAACTCGTTGAGGCTGCGCATTTACTCTTACAATCAGAAGGGACGCAGTGCAGCCTATCTGTTGCCCGATTTCATAATTGGCTCAACAGCTTACAAGACAGGTGAGTGGCACGCAACAGAACACGCACACACAAATACACTCAAGCGGCTAGGCTTGATTGATGGATGGGAATTGTAGGGCTGCTACTTGCATTTGACACAGGAAAGCAGCCTCTCAGAGCGTAGCTCGCTCGAGTCAGCTGCTTTTCAGTGATTTTATGTTTTAATCCCAGGCCAGTGTTGCCTACTCGCCCACTTGCTACTCCACATATGGCGGCGACACTTGACAGGTACCAGAGTCATCTGCAGTACTTACATAATCAACATGCCCGACTTCTGCCTCTGCTCGGCGGCGCATGGGCCACAAATTTGCTGGCTTAAAATTATGTGTAAAATGACTTTCTGATGTGCCAGCTGCAGTAGCAGCGCACAGTGATTGCATGATTATATCTATGATGCTTATAATATATGAAAAGTACATGAAAATATATATGAAAACATTCCAGAGCTGAATAGCAGCTGTGCTCATTCGACTGCATAATATTCATTTAATTTACTCATTTAATGGCAGCTTAAAATATTACATTTATTATAATTCATTTATTATTATTATTACTCATTTAAAGGTTTTCAATTTATAGTTTAATTGATTGTTTGTCTTTGAGTTGCCGACTACAAACCTTAAACTAAAGCAATAAAAAACCTTTTTTGCATTCTGAGACATGTGGAATGACTGAACTCAAAACCTTTTCTATTTCTATTCGTTGTAAGATCCATGAAGGCATGAGAACTCTGTATTAACAAGAGTTTTTCTGACTTAAGTAGTGTCAGCTAGTTAACACCTCACAATTTTGGAAGTCAATCTTTTAATATGCATAATTATATTTTGCTTACATTTTAATAGAACTCGCCCCACTGTGCGCTGTCTTATATTACAAATTTAACTCATGTTCACTTTATTAAATTCTTTGCATTTTCATATGCCAACACCAATCGCCTAAAAATAAAACTGCCAAACATTAACTTGAATGGAAACGTCTCTATGGCACACACACACACACATATATATATATTTATATATGCTTATGCATATGTGTTATATCTGCGATGACCGATGGCAATCTATCTAAAATTGACGATGATTTATGACGGGCGATTGTCAACCTGCAATTACGACAACAACTGATGACAACAATAATAACGATAACAGACGACGACGTGACGCTCACGCTGTCACCGGTGATTGTTGGCAGCGTTCTAACCATCATAATTATTGGGGTAGCCATCGCGATACGAATCTTTGTGGTTACATTCGTGCACAATCTGCGACGCAATCGCCAGCACGGCAACAAGGCGACGGCGGCAGGCGTTGTCGCCCAATCGGGCGATGTCTTTAAGGTGAGTGCAAAGGAAACACACAATTTCCCACTTTCCACATTGCACTTTAGTTATTTTCTGATTTTCCACTCGCATGCAATTAATAATGTTTGATGACATTTTGCAGAGCAACAACCTGGAGAAGCCGCGCTGGCAGCACACGGACATAAAAACGAAATCATCTGAGGATTTGGTCGAGGACGAACGTGATCCAGATGTAATACCCTCACAATACGGTAAGCTACTTACAACATGTTGCTATCTCAGCTCACTCAAGCAGCTGCCCAAACTCATTACTAAGTCAAAAGCTCAACTAACTTACGCTAGTTAGAGTATTGTTAACTATGCATTCGACTTGGCGTTCGGCTTGCTCTGTGCGGGCTCGCTTTGATATTTTATAGCAGTTTGTGTGTTAAACTTTAATCAAATTTTTATGGCTACTTTTCCAACATTTACTTGGCATGTGTCTGTCTGGCTGCTGCCTGATTTCTGCTTTGCGGACAACGCGTAATCGTTATCAATCTCATCAACGCAACAATACGACCAATAACAACGACAACAACGACGACCGCTACCACGGCAAACCAATCCGAAATGGAACCAAAAACCAATCCAATCCAATCAACGGATGCAATTTTCTTTTAATCGTAAATATTTTAACGATGGCATACGCCAATCTAAAACGCAACCGCATCCTCACATGGTAACCGTACTCGGACTCCGACTCGCACTCGCACTCGGACGCCCGAAAACGTGGCAACAACATCAATAAATTTCAATCGCACAGTTGGCGGCAGCAGCGCTGGGAGCAGCGGCAGCAATGCCTCCAATGTTGGCAGCACCACAGCCACTGGCACAGCCACCGGCAGCAGCACATCGACAGCGGTGGCGGCAGCTGCGACTGCAGTCGACCGCGATGCGCATCAGTTTGCTGCGGTAACAGCATCAGCTACAGCATCTGCAACAGCATCGGCAGCAGCAGCAGCAGCAGCTGGGACGCCATCGGCCGTTGGACTCGTTGGCAGCATTTCCAAATGGTCACCCAATGGCAATGTAAGTAGCAAATGAATTGTATACCAAATGAGCAATATAGATATATATAGATTATATATATAGATTATATATATATGTATATATATACACATATACATAGTTTGATTTGTCTTCAAATAAAATCTGAAACTTAACTCAGCACTTTTTATGCATCATTCAACTAAAATTGTCTGAATTTCAACTGAAATTGTCTGTCAACAAATTGTATTATTAATTGCCTGAATTAGACTTAAAGTGTATTATATATATAAGGGTATTAAGGACTTGAATATATGACATATGTATGATATAATGAAGAGCTTGTTTAATAAGTGAATTATATACCCAAATCTAATCTTTACACAAGCGCAATCAAAAATTTTGACAGTCATTTGATTTGATTAGGAACTTTTAGAACAGTGAATATTTTATATAATTAGTTTAATTAGTGAATCAAATAATCAAATATGAACTGGCCTTCAAATGAGCTCTATATCTATCTCTATATGCCTTGGCATTAATAATCCATTTATAATTATTTTTGAGAGACATTTATGCAATTAAATATAGTTGAGCTACGTTGCGTATGCGCAATATGCATATCTTATGTCTGTCTCTATTTGTACTGTTGCGGCTGCAATTGTTAATTAATATACAAATTTTTTGTATGTGTAATAATTGAAATTTATAATCGTAAAAAGATTCTATTCACATTTCTCTGTATATATGAATTAAAATTTATAGACGCTTAACGTCTACACATGCAACATGCACTGCGAGTATTTCAGATTTCACTTCAGGCAATTAGTTTGCCTTGAATCAATGCAACTTAGAAGTTAAAAGTTTTCTATATTAGTGACTTTCTGTCATTGGCTGTCAGAATTAGTCAACTTTTAAGTCAAAGCATTGCCTCTATGCAGCTTCAAAAGGGAAAAGAAAGTCGTATCGGAAATATGGAATATAATTAAAGAAACGGCAGCCCGAGCGGAACAGGAATCGCTTGGAAAGTGGGAAAAATGCGTTTGAAGCCAGCAGCTCAGTGATTGCCTCTGCATTTGCATTGGCATTTGATTGACTCGGCTTTTGGCTATCTATGTTTATTGGCCTGGCTTGGAACGTTTCGAATTACTGCCTCGTGCCAGGTTTATTTTGTTGGTTATTATTAGCCACGCTGTCAATTTTGTGTGCTCCACTTTCTTTTATGCGGCTTTTGGTTTGCTTTTGGGTTTTTTCCTTACGCCAAAAAAACCAATCAAATACTCAAATTGCCAAATTGCTAAACAAAAGTGTGGACAACCGCAGCACGGGCATCAAATTCCAATTCAAAAAATGAAAGAAAAAAAAACTAAAAACCCCAAGCCAAAACCTCAGACTGAAACCCCAAAGCATGCCAAAGGGTGTTTATTAAAAAAAGCTTTTAAACTGTCAGAGCGGGCGCACGGATTGCCGCCCCTCTATTCGGGAGTTATAAATAAAAGCCATTCACTAAGTCCTGGGATAATGCGGCAAGCACTGCTGGTATTGCAACCAAACAACAGGCAACAGGCAACCAGCCCCGAGCTAGCGACAAGGTAATTGCGAGCTACTCTCCTTATTTCGCCCGTTAACAAACACAATACATCATGTCGAGCTAACCATAATCAATCAATATTCTCAGTATTTTTATATTGCTCCACAGACGGCGGGCTGTAGCGGAGCGGGACGGGACGGGACGGGACTTTGTGGCCGTAAATCAGTTGAATGTGATTGAATGTGCAACATGTGTGCGCTATAAGTTTTATAGAAAAGGAAAATACAATAGAAAAGTTCCTGAGAAATCTTGAATATGCAGAGTGTGGCATTACGAGGAGGGTGGGAGGTGCAAGCAGCGAAAGAGAGAGAGAGAGAGAGGGACAGTGAAGAGAGCTGTCAGCTCTCTGAATGATGCTTCTTAATAATGCTGATAAAATGTTTATAGCGTGTAGAATGAGGCGTGGCTGGCTCTATAATGTTGAAGTATTTCTGATCAGAAGCATTTGTCTATACGTCTATTGAAGTCTTTCAGAGCTGAAGACTTAAAAGACTCATTTTATCTCTCATCTCATTCTATTGATGTTAGCTTTAGTTCGTTGAGCATTTACACACGTTGTAAGAGCTAGCGACACCAAAAAGTTCTACGTTTTGTATAAACAAAATCCTTAAAGCTTCTAGTACCTAAAAAAAACCTTAATATTAGCTATTCAAATGATGCTGCCGAACTTCGAAGAGAGTTTGTTTTTTTTTAGTATATTTTCACATATTCAATGGAATTATAAGCAAGCCTGACCACAGCATTAAAACTTGTATTAAATTTATAAGTTAGCTGAACTAAAATATGGTAATCTGAAGCCTTTGAGTACTAACAAATTTGAGTGAAATTTATTTAATTTATGTTTAAAATATTTCAAGAGCATTTTCTTATTTTAAAAAAGAGTTTATCTTAACAGAATTTTCTGATAAGATTTGTGATATAATGAGCTCTCATAGTTATCACAGTTAAACAGGTCAAGTTATATAAGCTAGGTCTATCAAAATTGTAAATTAAAATATTTATAAAATTTTCCTACCACAATAAATTAATTTGTTTTTCATATGTTGAACATTTCTAAAACGCAATTCACACAGTTTTCACATTTCCGATTCATATCAAATATTCCACTTTTATTTTAAGTAAAAACAATTAAAACATTTATATACAATTATAATTTTAATAAATGCATAAATTTGGGACAGCGAATGTGTTTGCACTATTTATTATTTCTTTAAAATATTCCCATTCTGGCTTTTTTGTTGTTGGCTTTCATTATATATGCAAAATGGGCGGAGCTGTGCATCTGCGCTCGCTCAACCATTTGTTTTCATTTCATTAAATTTGCAATTAGAGTTCATTTATGGATTTCGGTTTCGACTGGTCGAGATACCCGGCATTAACATAAGCTGTTCCGAGTGCGATTAGAATGCTCCCTGCTCCTGACCATATGGCCAGCAGAGAACAACCAATGAATATCCATATCTGTCATATATACTATATATATATATAAATATTATAGCATATATGCAAATAGTTCACTAATCTGACCTGAAAACTGAAACAGAACACACTAAGTCTATGCCCAATGTCAAACCAAAATTAATGTTAAATAGATGGAAGTGTTTTAGTGGTGTGTACTCGGCTAAGATATATCCTGTAAATAAAGAAATGAAGGTCGTGCCAGTGCAAATGTTTAAGGAGAAAGGGCTTAGTAATGTGTGCTCTACTACTAGATACCCTGCACTCAACTAACTTCAGTGTTTCAAGATACAACTGTAATTGCTTAAAAAGTAGATAGTCGACTAGAACATACCCTGCGACTGAATAACCTGAGTATTACAGGTGCGCAGAAATGTTTTAGAGGGAAGCTATAGACTAGAACATACCCGGTACTTAGATAATTAATGTTGAACACGTTAAAGTGTTTAAAGTATGTGCTCAACTACGACTACCCTGTAAAAGAGACAGCCGTCATTGATTAAAATTCTATTGAATTGTCAAATAAACAGCTCTACGAACATATATTCATTCATACCTTCGCCCATTGCTTTTTTTACACTGCATAAAGAACATTTTGAGGAGATAAACGCCAGCCTGGGCTGCTGGGCACTTGGGGCAGTAAATGGAATTTCGCTGCACTGATGTCAATTACATTTAAATTACCAGCAGGCGGCGCGGGGGCGTGACGCGTGCGCATATTGGGCATAACTCAATTCGTTAATTAAATAATTTTAAATATTGGCAAACATAACGCAAACAGGAGCAACGTGGCAATGGCAAACTGCGCAGCAACAACTGTGGGCAATGCAATTCAGCAATTCGGCAATTCGGTAATCGCATCGAGAGATTTTCAATTAGAATTTCCAATTCAACTGCCAAATATAAAAGAAATGCTTTTTTCTATAATCAAGCGTTCGCTTTTCGTGCATTCACAATATTTTCGACTGGCTGTTCACAATTTGGATAAAAATGTGAATACGCTTGAAATCATAATAGGATTAAAGTTCATTAAGCATATGAATATAAATGAATCTACACACAACACAGCCCAAATACGATAAGATGTACTTAGCATTGATTTATCGCAAAACAAATAACATAATTGAATATAGTGTTTTTATTATAGTTAGCAAATTGGTTTGGAGCATTATAAAATTTAAATAACGATTTTGATTAGACTATTTTGATTTTTGTGTTGAGCTTCATGTTGCTGGCTGTTTGCCAGTCTCTCTGCTATCAATTTTAGACAACTAAATATTAATAAGTATCTTTTAAACTTTTATAAGCCCAAGTCCAAATAGGTCTTAACTAAATATCAACTACTGATTCGTCGTCAGCTAGGCTATAACAAGTTGAGAATTCTATTTTTGACTTTAAAAATTTGCATGTAAATTAACATAAACTCTATAGACATATCCTTTAGTTGCTTCTAGCTTTTTATACTGACACTTTAAATTGTATAGAAATTTCGTCTAAACAAGTTAGTGTTTTAGCCTAGTTACACTGGCAAATTGCTGAATGCCGCTGCCAAAATAGCAGCGACTGTAGCTGGCTGGCATACAATATTTATTGCCCAGTGCAAAGCTTCCAGCTGAGTGATTCTTATGCATGTTTCTAACTTTTCTATGCACATCTGCTTGCAGGCAGCGGCCATGACGACGACTACGGCGCTGTCCAGTGATCCGGCGAATCCGCCGGTCACCTACAACCAGATCAATGCACAGCGCGCGCAGCTGCTGGCCGCCGTTGCAGCGGTTGGCGGTGGCTGCAGCAGCACCGTCATCTCGCCCAGCAGCAGCATGATGGGCAGCCTGGGCATGGGCATGGGTATGGGTGGCGGGAAGCCGTTGACACTTGGCATGGGTGGCACCATCATTGGATCGCCCACATCGCTCTCCTCGACCTCGACGCTGGCAGCGCATTTACAGCCGGCGCACAGCAGCGGCGTCGGCACTCTGCCGCCCGGCCTGGGCAGCGGCGGTGGCTATATACTGAATGCCTATGCTAGTGGCAGGCTGCAGCATACGCAGGGTCACACGGCCACCTTGAATCGCCATCAACATCAACAGCAGCAGCACCACCACCAACAGCAGCATCATCATCAGCAGCAGCAGCATCAGCCTGGGTCCGGTTCCAGCTTGCTGCTGGGCAGTGTGGGCAGCGTTATGGGCGTGGGCGTCACCTCGACAACAACCACCTCATGCAACTCGTCCCAGGATTTGGATGACAACATCAATATAAATGCGATAAAGGATTGCCTCATGACGCAACGTGTGCCCGAAAGCTGCGTCTAAGTGGCGAATTATAAAGTCTAGACTCTAGACCTTCGACTATAGCGCTACGGTTAAGAGAAGCAGACGTACACACCTAGATCTAGACCTAGACTAGATAGTCAGCTAATCGTGTTAATTATATATATATATATATATAAAGATATATATGTGTGTAAGTAGTTGTATGTATATATAAATATGTCATAGTTCTGTTCTCGTTAAGGTGCTGTGCATAGCTAAGTTCTATTCCTTATGACCATCTGGCATATCTTCCGCATAGATTTCAGGGCATATCCTTTCCCAATATCAGAAGCGAAATACCGATAAACGCATATCCACAAATCAGTTATTGAATCATATCAGTATATATATACTATATAAATGTATAGTTGAAACCAGAAATGCGACTCAGTCAATAAATCGATAAGTTATCGATTACATATCGACAAATGGATATCATTCAGTAAAATTTGCAATTCAGTTTAAAGCAAAATTATAGCTGCATAGCTATAGAAGATGTTCATATTCAGTTCTTCTACTATTCGAATATGTTGGCTATATCTCTTTAGATCGGAATATCCTTTTTAAAAACTGAAAATTCTCAACATTTACATTAACAGAAAAAGGAAAAGTAGATTAAAAAAAACTCTAAGAAGAAATCAGTAAGAATAATAAATAAAATTAAGGCAACTTCAACAAGACTCTGAAACTTAGTAGAAAATTTTATTTGTAGCAAAAATGTTCCCAGAGAAGAAAGGAAATCCGCAGAGATCGGAGATAGAAGTATTACGATTAGGTTTACTTGTAAATAAATAAACTCCTGCATAGTTAAATACTTGTATAAAGCAAATCTATATGTAGACTATGATTTTTGTTGTATTTGTATGTATATTTATCGATATATTGCTAACTGCTAACTGTAAATGCAGTTCTATTCGGTGTGAGAGTACCCGTCATCAGATCGGGAATGTCCTGCATAGTAAAAGTAAATATATATATATATATATATATATATATATAGAAAAAGTAAAGATAAAGATGATGCAAATTGTTAAAGCGCATTGCGCTTAAGCAGAATTTAATGAGAGTTTTAGTTAAAAGAAAGTGTGTTAGGTTAAAAAAAAAAACAGAAAATCTATGCATACAAATTGGTAAATCAATTAACTAAGTCATCAAAAGTGTGACAAAAAATATGAATACTAAGAAAATGGTAAAAATAAAATTATTAATTATTATAAAAATATTCAAATTCGTTTTATTTCCAACGAGGTGAAATCATGAACGCAGCTCAAGTCTTTTTGAGAGCTTATGGGTAAGTACATTATATTTATCGATTGATTAAATGCAATCGATCAGGAATGCGTATAATTTTCCAGACATTCAAAAAGAATCTGCCTTGGAAAATCAGCAACTTTTTGAAACTTTCCATAGACTCTTTGAGGAAACTTAACAAATATTCAAACAATTAAATGTTTCTATCGTATATCGATAGTTGTGCTCATTCACAGTAGGATCTATTATGGGATAATATAGTCAATGCATCTATCGAATAATTAAAAGATCGATAATTGAGTAATAATAATAGATGCAAGCTTCGTGAGTAATAAATATTTATCAAATATCACAACTCACGAAAGACTCGTTAGAAAATATGCTTATGAGCAATCGAACATCGATAAGTTGCTATATATGCAAAATCAAAGAACTTTCAGTCGTTGGCTCAATCTGAGAACATTAGCAAAAGCTTAAGTAATTATCGAATATCGCAACTATCGATAATATAGCAGTTTCCTTAGCTACTCAGTATTTTAGGTACTTTGATAAGATATAAGCGTTAGTAAATTGACAAAGCTGTGATCGATTATCGATAAATTAGCTGTCAGTGCTTGATCAAATCGAAATCCTTCATCTGAACTCCTACATGAACTCTTCGAGTAAACAAAATTAATATTGAAACTATTCAATGTGACTATCGAATCACAATTATCGATAATTAAAGAGCAAACAGTTGTTTACAAACTTTCTTAGCATACAAAACTTATACGAACTTAACTCTTTGATTAAATACAAGCAATTAAAACTATACGAAATCTATCGTATTTGGCAGGTATCTTTAATTTGGCAGCGTTAGCTGGTCTCCCTCAGCAATAAAAAACTTTTTACTTTCTTATTCATTTATCACACGTTCAAATATAATTTTGGGTGACCCACATCCACAGCTGGACCAATTAAAACCGCTGTTCAAATACGTGCCACAGCTCTGGGGGCCAAACCGCAGTTGGCCAACATACCACACTTGATAAGCCGCAAGAGCTGTTGCCGAGGCAAGTGGGGGACGAAAAAAACTATTTTAAATTTCATATGGTCTCGACTCGGCTCATTAGCAAATCAAATTTATACAAGACACGAGATATATTTCTGGCCAAGTCAGGCAGGCAGCTCGAAACTCAAGCCACCCAAGCGACGAACCACCCATGGTTGACCACACGAAACTTTTTGGACTGTAACAAAATTGACAGGAAAAGTGAAACTTGCCTTTGATTTGTGGGCATGCCATGGAAAAATGCCTCTGCCGACAAGTTTTAGGGATTCATTTGGGTTTTGGATAATTGGAAACCGCGCTGACAGCTTGCACCCAGCTCTGGCGCTCTTTTCCTTGTGTGTGGCTCACACGCTCTTAACCTATATAGAAACACCAATTGACACCAAGGCGAACACGTGGCGCAATCTACTTAATTTGTAGTGAAACACTTTGCCGAGCCATATAATTATCGAACTTAAGTTGTTTGTCCTATTCAATTACTCGATAAATATAACGTGCAGCCCGAATTATAATGTTGCATTCGAAATAGTTCGAAAATTAATTAAGAAATATTTTTATATAGCAAACACATGTTACATCATCTGCCTCTATTCTCATAGCTAACTTTTCCATTAATTAAATTGAATTTTCATTTACTAATCAGGTTGAATGGTAGACAGATGGCTAAAGAGAGTAAAGTGATTTCAATCTTTTGCTAATTTCAGCACATTCGTATCTGTCTGCTCGGCTTGGCTGCCTATAAAGTTATCAGGCTCGGCTAGCCTCAGTTTCTCTAATTTATCTAGATACATATATCTATTACCCAATCCAGGCTACACCGGGGCACTTCAATTCACTTCCGTTACGATTTTGCTGACTTCCGTTTGCCCATTTACGCCAGTGTTGGCAACGCGAGCGCGCCTAATAGAAAACTGTTCACACGTGCTGCAAATTACACAGTTTGAAATCCCAACCACTCGACTAGCCCCACACGCACACCCACACAGCCAGTGGCTTTTCCCACAGACAGTCAGTCCGTGTGGTCAATAAATGTAAATAAAATGGACGCGAATGCCTATCCAAAGCGCCACGCCCCATTCGTCGGGTGTTATCTGAGCAAAAACAGAGCAAAAGAGAAGGAAACTTTTATAGGAATTGCATAGCGAAAATGGCAACAAAATTATGCAGGTAATTTATGTATTTGTTTTTGTTGTTTTTGTTGTTTTTGTTTTCTGTGGTTTCATTTTTACAAAATTTTTTTCGCTGCGCATTTATCGATTTTGGTCCGTGTGAAAATTAAATTCCCATTTGAAGCTGCTCTGACCCGACTATAAAGTTTTGTTAGACGTCCCTCCGCTTCCATTCGTTGCGTCGGCCCAAAATTGAATTGAAGCGCGCTGTATAAATCAGCGGCTCAATAAAATCTAATAGTCCCGGGCAGATTGCGGCGCGGCACGCACCCTGAAAGCTCAGTGCGAACCAACGCCAAACGCTGGCTACAACTTTGGGTACGACCACATAAATTAACAGACGCTGGTGACGAACATTCGGCAACAAGGACGTGAACGTCGTCCTTGACAGTGGCAACGGCAGAGCGCGCCGTACAAAATAAAACAGCAGAGCAGACCAAAGGCCCCAAGAGATCCTTGATTAGCCGAAACAGTCATGCTCTAGTTAACCGAATTCAGTCGAGCTTATTCAGTCAAAGACAACAAACAAACTTCATGGAAGATCCTTTGCCACAGATTTTTCTATTATATGACCATGTCTAGGAATGAGACAAAACAAAAATAGTTAGTCAAAGTTTGAAAAAAAAATAATGGATAATTAAAAAATCATTGTATTTTAATCATAGAAGTCATAAAAGAAAACTTATATAATGATATAAGAACTAGCAGAAAGGAAATGCTATATATAATTATTACTTAAAGCTATACAAGTTTTTTATATAATATACATATAATTTTAATTATTTTTTTAATATTATTAAGAAATGGAAAGCCAACAGCTTAATACAGTCATATTATATTACGCTATATACAAATTTATATTTTATTTATTTTTTTAGTATTTTTTATTTAATATATTTTATTTTATTTAATTATTTTTAGTTTGCTTTTATATATCTTCGTCTCATAAATTTTATATATAATTTAAATCAATGAAACATATGCTCAATTTATAAATTTATTAACATAGTTCAGTTGAGCAGCAGAAATATTTTAAATCAAAAGCTGAGTTAGTTCAGCAGAAACCAGAATTTTCATTCTCTAATTAAAAGCATCTTTAATTAATTAAATAAGCCTCAAGCTTCTTAAATCTTCTAAATCAAATACTGAGCTTGCTCAGAGAAAACCTGCATGAGAATATAAAAAATACATCATAAAAAGAGTAATAAGATTTAGTAATAAGAGATTTAGTAACTAGAGTAGAGTAGAGTAAATTGATTTATGCATATTGAGTAAAACTAATTTTTATTCCTAACTCTCAACTTTTCCAAATACAAAGCTGAACTCACTTTAAGCTGTAAGAACTCGCGCTTAAGTCAAAGAACTGAAATTTCACTTCTCAAGCGAAGCTTGTCAAATCTCATAACAAATTCAATGCAATCGCTTTGGCCAGAGTATGCAAAAGGGCAACTGGAGCCGTTTGGCAAATTAACTAATGACCCCATATTAGGTGCCAGGCATCTTTGCGAGCGGGCGGGGAGGTTGCTTCTATCAAAGGGGAGGGAGTTAGAGTGTGTGGCAGAGGATGGGGGAAAGCATTAGGAAATGTTGGCTGGCGCGTTTGTTTAATTGTCGTGCGACCCGCTT